TAGAACTAGAGTCCTCATCAAATTATCTACCAAGTCAAAAAGAATGCATTCCCCTAAGCAGCTTCTGTCACTAGAAATCATCTTCTGAGAACCAAGCACTCTTCCCACAAGATGATCAGGAGATATTATACAGGATCCAGCTATTGGCGGCAGCTAAGCAATTTCACATTTAAACCTGAAAACCCTCCGTGATCATTTTCCTACATTCCCTCAAATCAGGAATAACAAAATCCATCACACTCAGAAGAAAGGCCTTACTCCTAACACTCAGGTGCCTGGAATCTACAATGAAATTCAGACATCGGGCTTCAGACCACCCAAGAGGCCATTGGAAGGGCTTGACTGCCACCTTGTGGTCCTGTGCACTACCAGCCAAGGCGAGGGCACACAGCCAGCGAGAAACAGTATGTGAGCAAACTGCTTAAACCCACTTCTGTTTTGACAAGAATGGTTATAATATCTTTTGACATGGCCCAGTAAGCTGAAAGAGAACAAAGGTATTAAAATATTCTGGCAACAGCCCTTGCTTGGGAGTAGGTTATTTTAAACAATTGCTTTCTCCAGGGCAATCATACCTGAGTTGATTTGTGTATATGCTCCTAGTTTAGAAAAAGTATTTTCCATATTTTCTCTCTACTGACTAGGTTTCAAAAAATAACTATTTTGGGCCAAGAGTGGTGACTCACACCTGTAATCCAAGCATTTTGGGAGGCTGAGACCAGAGGATCTCTTAAGCTCAGAGTTTGAGACCAGCCGGGGCAACATAGTGAGATCCCATCTCAACAAAATATGAAAAATTATCCAGGCCTGGTGGTGCATGCCTGTAGTTCCGGCTACTTAGGAAGCTGAGGCAGGAAGATCACTTGAGCCCAAGAGTGACCTATGATTGCGCTGCTGCACTCCGCCCTGGGTGACAGAGGGAGACCTGTGTGAAAACAAACTAAAAAACAAAACAAAAAATTCGTTTTGTAACGGCAAGAAAAGGCCCAACTACAGGACTGTTTTCTCCATGTTCTATATCCCCCAACTAATTTCTCCCTTATCTTTCCCTTCCTTCTTCTCTTCCTCCCTTCCTTCCTTCCTCCCTTTCTTTCCTCCCCGAACTCCTTCCTTCCTACATTACATGTAAACATCCCTATCTAACTCGAAATTCCTTCACCAAGAAAGCCCTATGTCCAATCCTTCTGCTACTGACTGTGTGACTTTGGCCAAGTTCCTTAACCTCTACTTAAACATCTTAGAAGAACGGTTTCTACATTTCTAAAAGACTGCAGGAGGAGGGCAACAAATAATAACACGCAACAGAGACCATATGTGGCCCACAAAGCCTAAAATATTCACTATCAGCCCTGTACAGTGTGCTGACCCCTCCCCTAGGCTTCTACCATGTGAAGTACACAGTATCAACTGCAAGTATTCTTTAAAAATAGACATTAAATCTGAATCGTAAGGAGACTTTAGATCCAACTTCCAGTTGACAGGAAGCAGGAGGGAGAGTAGGACAAGCTAAACGCACCACCTTGGCACCACCTCACCTGCTAGTGAATGTGCCGCTGAGCTCCCCTCCAGACTGAAGCACTCAGTCCCCAGATTGCTTGAAATGTGGCCGCTGATGGTTCACAGCTGAGCTCCTCACAGGCCTTGCCCTCAGCTGAAGGGAGTGGCCTTGCTAAGGCCCCACCCCTCCCTGGGATGGCCCCTATTTGAACTTTTATGTGCATTTCTTGCCTCATCTGGGGACCTCACTGAAGGACCACACCAGCTCTACAGCACCCCACTGAGGCCTCACCTGGCATTGCCCCTCTATTTCTCCCTCTGTCCAAGCGTGGACCCTTTACATCCTCACAGGTGTTGTGAGAACCTTCCCCCCGCAAAAAACTATCTGCATTCAAATCTCCATCCCAGAGTCTGTTTTCCTAGGACATCCCTCCACAGCCTATTCTCAGTATAACAGCTGTTATGAGATAAGGTAGGTCTTTACCCCTTTACTCAGATCCCTTCAATGGCTTCCATCTCATCAGAACCGTGCCATCTACACCCTTGCTGCATTATCTCTTGACTTCGCCTCCTACTCCTCTGCCCTTGATCACATCAGCGACACTGGCTTCCTTGCTGTTCCTCAAACATACCAGGCATGCTCCTGCCTTGGGGCCTTTGCAACGTGCTCTTCTAGCTTCCTGGAATGCTCCTTTTCCAGTTGTCTGCATAACTCCATCCCTCATCTCCTTCTAGTCTTCGGTCAATGAAGACTTCCCTGACCCCCTACTTAAGTGTGCAGGATTCCACCGAACCCCAGACTCCACATCCCTCTTTGGTTTCTCCATAGCATGTATCAGAATCTGGCACACTGTACATCTTATTTATGTTAATGTCTGTCTCCACCAGAATGTAAGCTCCATGAGGGCAATGACTTTTATCTAGTCGTGTCTTTGCTATATTCCCAGAACTAGAATAGTAACTGATATAAAGTTGCGGCCCAATCAATATTTATTGAATGAACAAGTAAATAAATGAATGGAAGACTGTGAATGTGGAACCAGAAGGCTTGTGATCTTTAGGGAAGTCCCATAACTTCCCTAAAGTGGAATGGAAGACTTCCCTAAACAAATGGAAGACTGTGGATGTAGAACCAGAAGGCTTGTGATCTTTAGGGAAGTAATCTTCACATGAAAAACAGGAACCATAATTCTCATGTCATTTTGGTAATGATTATACAATGTACCATTTATAGAGACATCATGTAATAAACTGCTAAATAAAAGGTATAATTTTTGATCAAACTGAATTCTTCACCAGAGAGGTACTTAATTTTTATAATCTAAGAGCTATCAGATTGCCAAAAAGGAAGTACAGAAACATTCAGACACAGAAAACCTTAACAATGGCTCTGATATTCAAATAAGATATAAAACGATTTATTCCAAAGCCATACCCAAAACATACAATGAAATGCATCCCTGTTAAAGACTTAATAAAAAGAGCAATCTTTACATTTTATAAGGTGAAGAACTTCTGTTCCCACAAAAAGTCTCATGAAAGTTAATTCCATAAAGTGTCAAATGTATTTTCCTGTTTATATAAAATGTATTCTCTTTAAATGCAAAATATTCAAATACAGCATTTTATTTCGAAATTGTTCTCAATTTCTGAAATTCTCACTACTCTACAGCATCCCATTTCCACACGCTTCTTAAAATGAGGTAAGAAGACAAACGGTGAAACCTTTTTTTCAGAGCATTTTTTCAGAAGTCAATGCCTTGCTGACGCGAAGTACAACATGCTTTTGTCATTCCTTTCATCTGAAATATTTTCCCAGTGGTTACTCAGTATTTTGCACAAAAAAAAACTTGCAATACCTGTCATTTAAAAATCTGTAACATGTAATTCTTTTTATACGATTTTAAGATCTGAATCAAAGCTATTGCTACAGTGATTCACTATTTTCTTTACAGGTACTTTAATAAATATTCCTCAATTCTAGAAGACTATTCAAATCCTTTAAAGTGGGGGTCAGCAAACATCTTCTGTAAAGGTCCAGATATTTTGTTTTGTGTGTCATTTTTCTGATGCATATTTTTTACAACTGTAAAATGTTTTAAAAAAATTATTTAGCTATTCTGTAATTTGCTACCCCACTATTTTAAAAAATAGAACTAGTCTCTAAATTAGACTACTCAAGTGTTAATAAAATGTAAACTTCACATTGTACAGTAAAATAAATCCACGGTTTCTGACTACTAAATTGAAAGTTCATAAGCAGTAAGAAATGAATCCCATTCAAAGAGTAGGGCTACATTCCAGATATTCTTTTTAATCAATGACACTTTCTTGTGGCTTTTCACTTTGATTGAATGTCACACATCTGTAGTTTTTTTTTTCTTGGTCTTACTTTTTTATAGGGAAAAATTATCCTCATAAGGCTAATTTGAAGTTTTTGAAATTAAAGACTAGAATACTTTGATGCTGACAGAGGTAGATGTACACACACTGGTATATGCAGTTACAAATACTCACATAAAATGGAAACCACTATTTCATATACAAATTAATCACAAATGCACTCCATGGCTAAGGAGGAATCAGTGGAAACCAGATAGAAGGTATGCAAAACAGTCCTACAGAATGTTCTAATTTTCTTTTACCACATATAGTTGCTACATTTTAGGAAAACATGATTTGAATATGAAACATGTAAATATAAATTAATATAGTGGCATGATTTATTCAGGTTCTTGATGCAGATAAACTGGAGGTGACTAAACTCTGATCTATATAACATGGTCCTATAGCTTGGTACTGAGAATCACAACTCTGCGTGTGTGTGTGTGCGCGCGCGCGCGTGTGTGTGTTGCATGTTTTCCTTTCCTACTACAAACAGTGTTATAACCAGATTATGGCAAATAAAAGAAGAGTTGTAAATTTACCCAAATATATCATAAACAAGTTGGAACACTCTGGAATTACAGTCATATGATATTCTAAAAAAAATTAACAAATTCTAAAGCTGAAAAAGTTGAAAACTTTGGTATCCGTAAAAAGAGAAAGTTCAGGGCCATGCGTGGTGACTCACACCTGTAATCCCAGCACTTTGGGAGGCCAAGGTGAGAGGATTTCTTGAACCCAGAGTTCAAGACCAGCCTGGCCAACATGGTAAAACCCTGTCTCTATCAAAAATACAAAAATTAACCAGGTGTGGTGGTACACACCTCTAATCCCACCTACTTGGGAGGCTGAGGCACAAGAATCACTTGAACCCAGAAGGCAGAGGTTGCAGTGAGCTGAGATCATGCCACTGCAGTCCAGCCTGGGTGATAGAGTGAAACTGTGTCTCAAAAAAAAAAAAAAAAAAGAAGAAAAATTAGCCAGGTGTGGTGGTGCAGGCTGTAATCCCAGCTACTCAGGTGGCTGAGGCAAAAGAATCGCTTGAACCTGGGAGGTGGAGGTTGCACAAACTGAGATCATACCACTGCACTCCAGCCTGGAGTTAAGCAACCTATATCTTTAATGTTATAAAGTCAGCTTCATGAAATTTGGGCTTAGAAAAATCTATTAGGTTATATATATCTATTAGGATTTTTTTTTTCTGTTTCAGAAAAAAAAAAAGAAAGAAAGGTAAAGTGTACCAGGGAGTCCATGCTCAATTTTTGAACTATAAAAAGATTTCAGTGCAAAATTATTGCTATTGATAAATAGCAATGACACAAAAACCATATGAAACACTTAACGTCTACAAAACACATAACAATATCCTGAAGGTATGTTTTGGCATAGAAAAGGTAATTCGGGGATAGGAAATAACAGATTGCTTTACTGATTTAATTCTAAGTCTGGGTGTTGGAGTGTTTAAACACTCTCTTTTTGCAAACAGACTCAACGTATTTATAGCTCATCACGTTTCTTCTTAAATGGCCACTTTGGGTGTTGCAATACGTGGTCTGCAGCCTGAAGGACAAGATACATAAATTCTTCTACATCGAAAGAGTAGTTGGTGAACTTCGGGTGCTCCCCCAGGGTTGGATGGTGGCCCTGCGAAAACAAACCAAAACACGAATCCGTAACTCACTAAGGGCATGGTTTTCTCTACAGCAAGAAAATTATGTTACTTTGGCTAAGGCAACTAATTTATGTTCTACATCAGAGACCAGCAAACTTTTCCTGTTAAGGGCCAGAAGATAAATATTTTCAGCTCTGCTGACTCTAAGGTCTCAGTCACAGTTACTCCACTCTGTCACTGAAGTGCACAAACAACTAGAGACAGCGCATAAACAGACAGGCATGACTGTGCTTTCTTTACAAAAACATGTCATGGGCTGGATTTGCCCACAGGGCTGTTGCTTCTTGATCCCCTCTCTATATATAATCTAATAGATTTTTCTAAGCTCAAATTTCACGAAGCTGCCTTTACAACATTAAAGATACAGGTTGCTTAATTCCCCCTTTTCTCCTATTTGCAAATATAAAATAAAACAATTCAGTATTCCAGAGAACAGTTTATCTTTGCAGCACTCGAGTTCAATAACTGTTTTTCATATCAATAATTGGATACTTTAAACCAATTAAAAATGAAGCAAGGTAAGTTTTGTGATTGAACTTTACCTTATCCTGAGGAAAGACTTTGTTCTGCCTTTGCCAAGTGATGTAGTGAATGCCTCTCAGCCTGGCCAAGTCTAAGTAACAGCGTTCATCTTCACAGTTGTACCTAAGGACACAAGGGTATCACAACATGAGGCTTTTGTCCAAGGTTTCTGCCAAATCAACAACTCTCTGTGAAAATAAAATGCAGCTCCCAAATATGTCCTTGCAAAAGGTTGTAAACAAGACTGAGGAAGATAGTAAACAAGACTGAGGAAGGGAAAGTAAAAATATTCTCTGAACTAAATGAACTTAACTTTTAAAAAACAAAATAGGGTCATGGAATGGAAAGAACTGACCTTGTTCAGTAGGGCCTGCTGCCTATGAACTTGATATCACCTTATAATACCTGTCTTCAAATGTATTTAAGTGGCAAGGGGGATAGGTAACACTTCCAAGGTCATATAACTAAATAGTGAAGGATGCAAAAGTAGAACCCAGGTCCATTAGACTCTAAGGCTTGAGTTTTCTCAGTTACATTTCTCTCCCTTCTCTCTCCTTTTTTTCATCCTTCCTTCTCTCTCTATAGGAGAAATGACAGAGACAGAATCCATTATCTGGCTATTTCTCTACATATATCATAAATATTTTTGAAATGTTTTGCAGGGCATTGGAAGTTCATGACAATTTTTTTTCCTAAATAGCCTCCTATATAAATACAGAGTCAAGTCATTTTTCAAATGAAACCATAGAATCCAGATATTTAGCATAATGGGGGGAAACAGGTAACAGTAACTGCTATTAGTGTCTCAAGAACTAAAATGGAACACAGTGTCAATAGCAGAATTATTATGAGAGGGAAGGCCATGTCTCCATAAACGAACCACTGAGTTAAAAGCATGCCCTGGGCAAGTCACTAGCACCCAAGGGCCTCAGTTTCCCTGCGTATGGGATCAGCAAGCACTAAGTGAAGTGATTGGCTTGTGTTTTGGAGCTATGTTGTGCATGAGCCATAAATGCTTTCTTTTAACACAATAACTACACTGTTTGCAAGAAGACGCTCAGAGTTTGGGAGGTATGCAGGAACAAACTCAGAATAAGGAAACCACAGATTCACATCTTCCGTATCATGCTGGGGATGGGAAGATGAAGGGGTAATTGGCTTACTAAGCGCAATGGCAGGCTACGGACTTTGTATTTTTAGCTTCAGGCCTTTTTTCTTTCCAGATGTCTATATGATGTGACTTCTGTTTTTGAATGATTAAATATTAAGCCTTTTGATGCTCAGAATGAAAGCCTTAGCATGCATAAAAAGCATTATCAGTTGCTTCAATATAAAACTGCCTCCAAACACTTACAATTCAAATACAGCAGCCCAGTCTGGAAGGAAAAGTAAATGGGTCAGACCAGCTCCATGCATTCCAATAAATATGTCCGTGTTGTGTGTGATCCTCAGTTGATCCAAAAACCCAAGTTCTCTGTGAACATACAGAGTAACACAAGAGAGATGGGGAGAAGAGAGAAGTATCAGGTTGAGTTAGTTCATGATTCACAGTAAGGATATTTATAAAAGTGTATTGCCCATTTTAAACCACATTCCATTTTTAGAAGCATTTTTGCCAATTTCAAGTGCTCTCTAGTAATTAATAAATTTCTTAATAATTTAACATATTTTCTAAGTAAGCTCACCTATCCTTTTAGGTTTAAGCATATTTAGTTTTAAAGGAAACTTTAATATCTGTCTTAAATGGAAAATCAGTGACATATGACATTAACAAAATTGTAAAAATTGACACAATCAAACTAAGTAGTGTTCAAATAGAGATAGATACTATTGCAAGACAAAGCTCAGAGCCTGAGGCCTGCTCTTTCTTCATGAAAAAGAGAAATTGGCAAGTGTTAAAGAGATGTTATGACACGCTAGCACTAAATTAAAAACTATTTCCTTAGGATAATATAAGGACTTCTCAAAAAGAAAAATTTCTCCTTGTGTGATTTAAGTTTTTTAATGCCAGCTGGGTACATCCAAAATTATCTCAGATACCATCAAGGCATTATCCTGCCTTTGGAACAGACAAATACACAATTTTATGCATGTTAGGACTGTACAAGTGTTCTCTAAATCCAAGACACTAAGTGTGTAACCCTTGAACCAAAAATCAGTCCCCAAACAGTTCACTGAGGTGAGGCTAGGGAGAAATGCTGGAATAAGGGTGACACTCTGAATAAACAGAAAGAAATGAGATCTCCCAGCCCCATTTTACCCAAAGTAAAGAAAAAGAAATGATCAAGATTATTTTGGATCTAAGAAGGGAGGGTGAATTCCCTTTTATACCAGCTAACAACAAAACTCCGCACAGGAAAAGGAAGACAGCTCCATGTGTATATGTATCGCAATGAGAACATGTGCCTCAGTTTCTCCAGGAATGTGAACTGGTGCCAAGGGAAGGACAGCCATTCACCCAGATGAACATACCCCTGGAGCTGCCAGTTATGGAAACGCCTGTGGTCAGCACTCACCAATCCCCATGCTAACGTGTTACTAATACTTCCGGCAGACTGGCAAGATACGAATTCATTGTCATTCTTGCTTATCTGAGAAACTACAACATATCCTTAAAAGCCAGTCAATGATACAGCCTCAGAGGTGCCCTCCCCAGTTCCTTCCATTTCTTCCCAGCCTCATCTCAGTGAATGGTTTTGGGACTGATGTGGGGGCCCCATCTTGGCTCACTCATTTCTTCAAGCAACACTGACACAACATTTCTTCAGCACTGCAGAGTATAATCTGTAAAATGGGACCGGATGGGCCAACTCAGAAGACTGTTGAAAGCATGAGATGAGATAAATAATAGCTGTTTTTATGATTGCTATTTATCTCTATTCAGTGTCTGAGATCCTCAAGACCAGGGCTATGCCATCCGCCATAATGGGATGGGATTCCTACCGCTGAGACTGGCGACCAGCTCATGGGTCCCCAGTAGAGATTTACTGCACAAATGAACTAATGTATGATGAATGAAGTGCAAAGCTCCCATGCTTACATTCTCTGAAATTAAGTGTATCTATATTAGATACCCACATGCTGGGACATGTGTACTTCTTTTAACTGGGAAGTCTTCATAGTGTTAGATTTGGGAAACACAGCTGTGATTGCAGGTGGACATGGAGACAGAAGTTTTCACTTTTCCTTTTGATCTTTTCTATACTGCTTGACTTTTTCAACCAGAAACATGTACTACTTTTACCAGTAAGATGTAATTCTAGCAACAGGAATTACCTAAACTGTGAATAATAGACATATTCTGTCTTTCTAAGTCTTTTAGTTGTATTAAGAGTTTTAAAAGAAATGTAAATATTTGATAACATTTTTTAAAATTTCATGTTATTCTGACCCTCAAATTATCCCCATATAAATAATTTTAAGTCAGATGTTGAAATCTGGCAGCAGGCAGGGCAAATTAGATTTATAACATCTGTAAATTTTGAACTAGTTGCCCTTTTTTTAAATTTTTTTTTTATTTTTTGGAGACGGAGTCTCGTACTGTCACACAGGCTGGAGTGCAATGGTGCGATGTCAGCTCACTGCAACTTCCACCTCCCGGGTTCAAGCCATTCTCCTGCCTCAGCATCCTGAATAGCTGAGACTACAGGCACACGCTGCCACACCTGGCTCATTTTTTGTATTTTTTAGTAGAGATGGGTTTCACCATGTTGCCCAAGCTGGTTTCCAACTCCTGAGCTCAGGCAATCCGCCCTTCTCGGCCTCCAAAATGCTAGGATTACAGGCATGAGCCACCGTATCCAATCTGCTAATTTTTTTAAATTATGAAATTTTAGGCCGAGTGTGGTGCTCATGACTGTAATCGCAGCACTTTGGGAGGCAGAGGTGGGCGGATCACTTGAGGTCAGGACTTCAAGACCAGCCTGGCTAACATGGTGAAACCTCATCCATACTGAAAATATAAAAATTAGCCGGACATGGTGGCACATGCCTGTAGTCCCAGTTACTCGGGAGGCAGAGGCAGGAGAAATACTTGAACCCAGGAGGTGGAGGTTACAGTGAGCCGAGGTGGCACCACTGCACTCCAGCCTGGGCGATGGAGCAAGACTCTGTCTCAAAAACAAACAAACAAACAAAAAATTTCTGAAATTTTAAATGAAAATCTGAATTCATCACTTCTTTTGAATAAGGAGATGGAGTCCCAACATCAGGCCCCAGAAAGAAAAAGAGTAACTGCCCTTGTTCCTAGGACCCTCACCTGCCCATTTCATTCATTTGTAGGATCTACTTGTCCCTTCTGGGCCTACAAATGCCAATGACTCCCACTGGAAAAACGCTTTCTAGCCCCCTTGACCTCATCCAAGCAAAAGTTGACAGTGTCTGCTGAGATTGGCTATTACTTACCTATACTTGTAATCAACAATCTGGACTTCAAATGTAGGTACTGTTTTCAGTGCATTTACAAGCTGGGAAAAAAGAGAAACATTTAGCATCTCTTTTCCTTCTTTCTCTTCTGTTTTTCCTTTATGAATCCTAAAATTTCTTTTTTTGCATATACTATTTCAGAGATTAAATATCATTTTGTAACGACAACAACAAATAAAAAGAAAATAAATAAATATCATTTGGGTCAACAGTTTTGAACTGTCATTAAGTTCAAATCCAGGCTCCACCTGTGAACACATGACTCTACCTCCCTCAATACCAATGCACTGTGTTGTTGTGAGGCTGAAAGGAAAAGAAAATTCATGGAAGCCAAGTGCTAGGCACAGAAATACACTAATCATTAACTGTTACTCCAGCCTTTACCTTAAGAGTTTTTGTCCCATCCATTATCTCATTTCAGACAAACCACTAGTGCTTTGAACCTCATCCTCTGAAAATACTAAGGTCTTGGCAGAAAAACATTTTCAGTACTTCTACATAGAAAAACTATTACTCTTCTAGCAAACAGAAAGTAACAAAGCATTGTTAATCTGTTATGAAAAATATAGTCATGGTTCTCTGTCCCTCACAATTAGGCCATAGAGGATCACCACCATTCAGAAATGTCTGCACCTGAATCATGTTGCCTTGTGGCATGCACTACACAGCAATAGCTACATCAACAGTTGCATGTATCATTGACGGGGCATATAAGTGGTGCTGGCATTTCTAAGTGTGCCATTAGGCTTACTTCACTTAATCCTCATAAGAATCATACCAGTGGCCAGGCGCAGTGGCTCACGCCTATAATCCCAGCACTTTGGGAGGCCAAGGTGGGCAGATCACCTGAGGTCAGGAGTTCGAGGCCAACCTGACCAACATGGTGAAATCCCATCTCTACTAAAAATACAAAATTAGCTGGGTGTGGTGGCGCATGCCTGTAATCCCAGCTATTCAGGAGGCTAACAGAGGAGAATCACTGGAAGCCAAGAGATGGAGGTTACAGTGAGCCGAGATCATGCCATTGCACTCCAGCCTGGGCAACAAGAGCAAAACTCTGTCTGAAAAAACAAAAAATCATACCAAGTAAGTATTAGTACTATGCCCACTTGATAAATTACACAAGATAGGCTCAGAGAAGTGAAATAACTTTCTCAGGATCTCACAGCTCCCAAATGCACAGCCAAAAATAAATCTAGGTCTTCTGACCCCAGAACCTGTGTTCTTAACCTTCTTAACCAGTGCGCTCTATTGTCCTGCTTACAGAAAGCAACAAGCAGTGACCAAGATTGAATCCCCCCCATGTCACTCACACACACATACACACACACACAGAGTCGTGACTGGAAATTTCTCTCTCCAGACAGCCCCTGAACTCCATTTATGAAGAGTTGAAGGGGTAAGAAGATTAGCATTCTGTTTTACAGGAGAGATGGCAGATGGCATAAGCGTTGGTCTTTTTTTTTTTTTTTTGAGATGGAGTCTCGCTCTGTCGCCCAAGCTGGAGTGCAGTGGCGTGATCCTGGCTCACTGCAAGCTCCGCCTCCTGGGTTCACGCCATTCTCCTGCCTCAGCCTCCCGAGTGGCTGGAACTACAGGCGCCCGCCACCGCGCCCGGCTCATTTTTTTTTGTATTTTTAGTAGAGACGGGGTTTCACCATGGTCTCGATCTCCTGACCTTGTGATCCGCCCGCCTCGGCCTCCCAAAGTGCTGGGATTACAGGCGTGAGCCACCGCGCCCGGCAAGCGTTGGTCTTTTAAGGAGATTGCCCACATAAAAGGAATCACGTGTGCTGAGGGTCTCAAGGTAAGCATGCCCTTTTTCATGACTTCTAGTTGCACGAGAAAGGTGGCCCTATCCCTTCCAATAGCTATTCAAACCCTGCAGTTGGGCAGGATTCCACAAGCCATGATTTAATGAGGCTATTTAGGTTGTATTATCTATTTATTAATCAAAGTATAGCCAAAGGTGCTTTCTTCCCTGCCCGGGAGCTGCCTTTCTAGTGAGATCCAATCCTCAGGACAGAAGCAGCCAGTTGGGTGCTCTTTGGTTTGGAGTTGGGGGCTGAATGATCAAATTTCACCTTTGGGCGCCATCATCTGGGCAATGTGCATGACTGAATCTGAAAATCTCACGCCTGCATTAAAGCATCTACCAGCACCACACCTTTCTTTTTTTTTTTTTTCATTATACTTTTCAGTTCTAGGGTACATGTGCACAACATGCAGGTTTTTTACATATGTATACATGTGCCATGTTGGTGTGCTGCACCCATTAACTAGTCATTTACATTAGGTATATCTCCTAATGCTATCCCTCCGCTTTTCCACCTCCCCACAACAGGCCCCGGTGTGTGATGTTCCCCACCCTGTGTCCAAGCGTTCTCATTGTTCAATTCCCACCTCTGAGTGCGAGCATGCGGTGTTTGGTTTTCTGTTCTTGAGATAGTTTGCTGAGAATGATGGTTTCTAGCTGCATCCATGTCCCTACAAAGGACATGAACTCATCCTTTTTTATGGTTGCATGGTATTCCATGGTGTATATGCGCCACATTTTCTTAATCCAGTCTGTCACTGATGGACATTTGGGTTGGTTCCAAGTCTCTGCTATTGTGAATAGCACTATACCTTTCCACTGGACTTCCCTGCAGCAGCCTGATGCTGTTCCTCAGCCTGCCCCTTCCTGATGGACTGGGGCCAGAGGTAGATTCTGCCTCCTCTGAAATCTATTTGCTGTTTCAGTAGTAGCACACTCTGGCTAGGAAAGCAGTTTCAGTCCCCGACTACCTTGACTCATGTCCCCGTTACTCTAATCACCAGCTGGGTGACCTTAGGCATGTTTTTTAACCTCTGAGTCTCAGTGTCCTTGTCTAGGATAGAGGATAACAATACAATACCTACCTCATGGGTTTGCTGGGAGGGTTGGGGGGCACAATGTACAAAAGGAGCACACAATAATATGCGTGACCCCCAACTGCACTCAATATGTATGGTCCATACCAATATATACTGTTGATCTGTTGGCTACTGAGGTTTCCCATTTGTATACCCAACATTGCACTATTTGATACGTTATTTCTAGGTCTTTAAACACACATATACAAACACACACACCCTCCACACACACACTGCTCATTTCTTCCATCCACAGAGCTTACAATTAACACCTCATTATGCCATATGTTCATGTCCTCTGTAATCCATATGGGTCTCAGGAAGAGACGTTAATTACATAATTCTGATCAGCTTGTTAGGCAGCCAAATTAGTCTGTGTAAAATATTTTACCCATTAAAACATGACCCCCCTCCCCCAACTTCCCTCTTAATAAGTATTGTCCAGTTTGTTCCCACTTACCTGCTCAAGTTAAAAGCCTCAAATCACACTTGATCCTTGATACTTTTCCTGGCCTTCTCTAGTGTGAATGTACTTCTGCATTCCAAAAGTAAGTATCATAGGTCCTATCTCCAAAATATATCTTGAATCCATCTACCATGTCATCTCTACTGTCATCACTTTGGCTAAACGCTCTCCCCTGGGCCACAATAACAGCTTCTGATCAGTCTCCTTGCTCTCACTCTTGCAGGCAGAATGACTTAAAAATAAATGTCAATTCATGTCTCTCCCTCTGTATTTGTTTTCTATTTGCTGCTGTAACAAACTGCCACAAATCTAGCAGCTCAACACAACACAATTTATCCCCTTACAGTTCTGCAGGACTGGAGCCTGACATGGGTCTCACTGGGCTAACATCAGGGTGTCAGCAGGGCTGTGTTCCTCCTGCAAGCTCCAGGGAAGAACCCACTGCCTTGCCTTTTCCAGCTTCTAGAAGCCCTCCACACTCCATGACTCAAGGCCTGCCCCCTTCATCTTCGAAGCCAGCAACATGGCATCTCTCTGGCCCCATTTCCCTTATATCTCCTTCTCTGACTCTCTTTCCTGCCTCCCTCTCCCACTTTTAAGGAAATGATGAACTGAGATCTGATCAGTGAGAAGAAGCCAGTGAAGAAAAGAGCTGTCCAGGCAGAGGCAAAAGTTCTCTGGCAGATGGATTTTAAGGCCCATTTGTGATTATACTGGGCTCACGTGGATAATCCAGGAAAATCTCCTTACTTTTAGGACAGTTGGTTGGGGACCTTAATCCCATCTGCAACCTTACTTTCCCTATGCCATGTAACCTAACCTGTTCGCAAGTTCCAGGGATTTGGATGTGGACATCTTTCGGGAGGAGGAGGAAGAGACATTATTCTACCAACAATGCCTTGCTTTAAAACTTCACAGTGGCTTTCCCCTACACTGGAATAAAATCCCTCTCCCACCAAGGTCTAGAAGGCTGATATGATCTGTGACCTCCCTGCCCCATGCCTAACTTCTTGGATATTGCCCCACCTCTCTCAAGATGTTACAGTCATATTGGTATTCTCTCTGTTTCTAGAATACTGAAAGCTCAGTCCACTAGAATACATTTGCCTCTGCCTGGGAGGCTCTTTCCCTTGCTAGATCCTTCTCTGATTAGGTCTCAGTCTAAGCAGTGTCTCTTTGATGCCCTCATGTGAGTACCAACCCCCTCCATCCACATTCCCAGTCTCTATGACATCACCCTGGTTCATATCCTTCGAAGCACTTATCACTGCCTGACATCACCGTACTTACTGACTTTTTTACTTACTTCTTATCTGCCTCTCACCTCTAGAGTGTAAGTTGCATGAGGTCAGGCACCTTCCCCATCTTTGCTCTACTCTATCTCCAGGACCTAGAACATGGCCTGACACATAGCAGGTGCTCAATTAACTATTGTAGAATAAATTCTTACTACTGAGAGGCTACCTTCAGGCCATGATGTTGTAGGTAGTGGACCTGCATGGTGATCTCATTGAGGTTAAATATAATTTATGAGTTGGTGCTACTGAAATGAGTCAGGATGCCGAAAATGCAGTTTCTAAGACATGGTCATGTAACAGAACAGAGATTCTTCCAACTGAATCTGCTGCTGATACCACAGGATTAATGGCCTCAACCATCTTTTGCATCAACTATGCAAAAGAAAGTCTTGCCTTTTTGCTACTTGTTTGTCTGGATGCCCTCTACTGCAGTCAAGGCAAGATTCAGACAGCTTTCTCCAGGCTGAGTTGATGCAGATGAACATTTACTATAAGGCAAAGCTAGTTTGTCCATGGTTGGTTTGGTGAATCTCACTAGAAATTCAAATCCAATAAATAAACTGGGTATAGGCCATCGAACTTTTCTCAAAACTAATAGTTTTAAACCGAAGCTTTTCTTTCTTTTTTTTTTTTTTTTTTTTGAGACGGAGTCTTGCTCTGTCGCCCAGGCTGGAGTGCAGTGGCCGGATCTCAGCTCACTGCAAGCTCCGCCTCCCGGGTTCACGCCATTCTCCTGCCTCAGCCTCCGGAGTACCTGGGACTACAGGGCCCGCCACCTCGCCCGGCTAGGTTTTTTTTTGTATTTTTTTAGTAGAGACGGAGTTTCACTGGGTTAGCCAGGATGCTCTCGATCTCCTGACCTCGTGATCCGCCCGTCTCGGCCTCCTGAAGTGCTGGGATTACAGGCTTGAGCCACCGCGCCCGGCCTAAACCAAAGCTTTTAATTGTAATGCAAAAAAAAAGCACAATTTCCTTTATAAATTCAATATGAAGGCATTAAAAACGCATACCAAAAACTAACCTCATTTTGGTTTAAGATTTTCCGGTATTCTGTGCTCCGTGCAAGAATGGTGACTCGAATTTTTCCATCCTGTAATCAAAATGAAATAGTAAAATAACACTGTATATGCCTGGGTAGATGAATGAACATCTGAACCTAAAATGTGATTTTCACCAAGAGATGAAACTCAACCAGGATACATTAATAGAACTATTCTTTTTTAGCCTGATTCCTTCACCACTCTCAGGGAGTAAAAACGTGTCCACTTCAACCACCGAAGGCAAAAACCAGTTCATTACATTATCTGTTTGGTTGGGTGGGTAAATTTTTTGGCAGGGGTTGTGTAAGTTAAATGAATATTTGCGGAGGTGAGGGAGATATAGCCAATGAAGGGGGAAAGGAGGGCACGAGGAAGCACATTCTTGCAATATCCCTTAGTTTCTCTTTTAAAGGTTTTTGACATCTGGTTTCAGATGACTCCAGGTCAGAAAATGTTTTTGGGTTTTGTTTTGGGACAGCATCTTGCTCTGTCACCCAGGCAGAAGTGCAGTGGCATGGTCTTGGCTCCCTGCAGCCTCTGCCTCCTGGGTTCAAGCAATTCTCATGCCCCAGTCTCCTGAGAAGCTGGGACTACAGGCACATGCCACCACTTCCAGCTAATTTTTGTATTTTTTGCAGAGATGGGGTTTCGCCATGTTGGCCAGGCTGGTCTTGAAATCCTGGACTCAAGTGATCCACCTGCCTTGGCCTCCCCAGAAAATGTTAACACGAAAACATGGTCTCCTGATTATTTCTGTTTCTGAAAAGGTGGTATCAACTTTTATTAGGGAAGAAAACTCAAGCCCATCTCAGAATCCATTACCTTGGGTCCTTCTTGTGTGATGTTTAGTCTGTGTAGCACATGCTGGGAAAATGCCCTGAATAGTCCAGTATTTTGACAGCCAGATATCTAAAATAAAAACACTGGTTGATATTACAATGAATACTTCTGTATTATAATTTAAAATACTGTCAAGTTATGTACAAATGTTATAATGTCTGTAAATATGAATGCTAATGGTAGACAGCATGCTTACCAGAGGAGTATTATAGAACAGCCCATACCTCATGCGGGGGAGTAATGAAAAAACAGCTTCTTTAAAACATACCTAAGAACAAAGATACATTAAAAGATAAGAGGATGTAATTTGCACCCTTCACACCAAAATAGCATGTATAATTTTGAAAAACTGATTTCAATTAATCTCCATTTTGCATTAAGATTGTTTGAATAGCACGCTATTTCATTCAAAGAGAACAGAATTCATATTTTTGGAAAGATTATAGAAAAAAGTTTTCAAAGGCTGCATGATTAACAACACTGAGGATTCTAATTATAATAAAAGAAATTCAGAATTCAGAAATCAGTGGTAATGGCTAATAGGAACTCATAATAAATGTTTATTTTATGAGTGAGTCATCTGCACTCAAGAGATATTCACAAACATTTCAGGAAAATTTCCAGTACCCTTTTGGAATCATAAGTTTTCAAATGTATAATGTCATAATCAGTAAATGCATTCCATGTGTCGGAGAATAGGTCACCATATCCGTAAGAACTCTGAAAGCAGAAACAAAACAAGGTTTTAGGGCAATGAAAGGATACAACATGACTTTTCAAAGATGCAACAAAATACCTGAATTTGCTTGTGTTAAAAACTAACAATCCTACACAAAATCCGTATAAGCAAAATGGATCTTCATCTTGGGCCAGAGCAAATGCCTAATTTCATGAAATATCATCAGAAATAATTATCACAATTATACTCTTAGCTATTAACAGTGTTTCATTTTTCTACCTAAACTTCTTTTATTCTCACGTCTTTGAAGTTGTAGTTCAGGGTTTTTTCCTGTGAACATCTTATTCAAATTATAGATGCACACCACACACACATATGCCACCGTTTGTACACACTCTGTTATGCTCAGTGTGCAAAAACCATCAGGGTGAACGAAAAATACTTTAGAAAAAAATTTCAGAGCAAGAAAATGGGTTCAAAGTTTTAACATTGGCTGGGTGCAGTGGCTCACAGCTGTAATCCCAGCACTTTGGGAGGCTGAGGCAGGCAGATCACCTGAGGTCAGGAGTTCAAGACCAGCCTGACCAATATGATGAAACCCTGTCTCGACTACAAATACAAAAATTAGCTGGGCTTGGTGGCATGTGCCTGTAATCCCAGCTACTCGGGAGGCTGAGACAGAAGAATCACTTGAACCCGGGAGGCAGGGGTTGCAGTGAGCCGAGATCATGCCATTGCACTCCAGCCTGAGCAACAAGAATGAAACTCAGTCTCAAAAAAAGAAAAAAAGAAAGTTTTAACATTAAAAATAAAGGCTGGTCACAGTGGCTCATGCCTGTAATTCCAGCACTTTGGGAGGCAAAGGTGGGAGGATCACTTGAGCCTTGAAGTTTAAGGCTACAGTGAGCTATGATCATGCCATATACTCCAGCTTGGGCAACAGAGCAAGACCTTGTCTCTAATAAAATAAAATAAAAATATATAATATATGTAATTCTATGAAATATTCCCCCACCCATTGACTAGTGAATAAAAAGTGGTAATTTCCGATTAATATTAATGGTGTCAATAACAACTTTATATAATAATAATAGCATCCTACACACTTCCTGTGTTCCAGGCACTGTTTTGGGCACTTGACATTATTAATGTACATTAAGCCACCCACAAGCCTAATGAGTAGATAATATCATTTTCCGTATTTTGCAGATGAGGAAACTGAGACACAATTTTAAGTCATTTGCCTACACTGCAAAGCAGCTGAGTTATAGAGCTGGGATTCAACCTAGCCTTTGCTGCCAGCTCCATCTGACAGTTGCCTCTCAGTGGGAATTAGTTCTTTCTAGTATAATTACATGGTTTTTTGGTTTTTTGTTTTGCTTTGTTTTTGTTTTGAGATGGAGTCTCACCCTGTCGCCCAGGCTAGAGTGCGATGTCATGATCTGGGCTCACTGCAACCTCTGCCTCCCAAGTTCAAGCAATTCTCCTGCCCCAGCCTCCCGAGTAGCTGGGATTACAGGCGCACGCCACCACATCCAGCTAATTTTTGTATTTTTTGATAGAGACAGGGTTTCACCATATTGGCCAGGCTGGTCTCAAACTCCTGAGCTCAAGTGATCTGCCCACCTCGGCCTCCTAAAGTGCTGGAATTAAAGAAACCACACCCAGCCTCATTTCTCTTTTGAAAAGTAGTTAATTACGAGCTCCATTAGCTAAGAAGAAGATCAATTAATTTTTAAATGGTTTCACTTAGATTGAAAAATTCAGCCAACAGAAATCAGAAATATGCATTGTAGCATTACATTCAAGCTCTATAGTTATACATTATGTTCATGTCTTTTTATCTTTATAGCATTTTCTCAGATTTTGAAAATTTTATGTTGCACATACTGCAGTTATTTCAAAGTTACTGAGATCTGTTAGACATGAAAATTAAAAAAAAAAAAAAAAGGCTTCTTTCCATGTTCCTCCAATGCTATTTTAATAAAGGCCCTTCTCAACACCATCTAAAATGAAATGTCCCTGTTCTGGCTCAATAATAAATAAAGGGCAATTAAAAGAAGTGATTCTGGATGGTTTCCTGAGATAAAATACTCCAGATAAAATAATATATGTTTGAAAGGAAATTTTAATAATAAAATACTATAATCCTGACCGATCCTTCCTCAGGGAAGTCATACATTATTTAATAAGAACCACTTCCAGAAGCTTCTTTTCCATGTTTCCCAAGTCCAAATTATCTACCATGAGGGAAGGAGGGGCTTCTTCCTACACTCATGTTGAAGAATATTTGGATAGTCTTCAAGATGACACAAAATTTCCTTTAGTGTGTCTCAAATTTAAACATGCACATAATCTATGACTTAGAAATTCCACTTACAGGAATCTGTCCTACAGAAATGCTAGGATGAGGATGTGAAGATATAGGTATATTGAAAGGATGTATGTGTTTACAGTAACATTTCAGTAAATATCAAAGAACTGGAAACAAAACCAAATGCCGTGGGGTGGGAAATGAATACATGCACTGATGCATGCATCCAACTTCCAAAACATCCATTAAACAGAATACCACATAACACCTAAAGCAAGGATAGCCCTAAAGGTACTGACTTAAAGAGACATTCCAGAGATAATACTAAGGTGGCAATATGAGACAGAGAATGTATTTTCCACAAGAATATAAACATATTGGCCAGGCATGGTGACTCATGGCTGTAATCCCAGTGCTTTGGGAGGCTGAGGTGGGAGGATCACTTGAGGCCAGGAGTTCAAGACTGTATTAGTCAGTTTTCACGCTGCTGATAAAGACATACCTGAGACTGGGAAGAAAAAAAGTTTAATTGGACTTACAGTTCCACATGGCTGGGGAGGCCTCAGAACCATGGCGGGAGGTGAAAGACACTTCTTACATGGCAGCGGCAAGAGAAAATGAGGAAGAAGCAAAAGCGGAAAACCCTGATAAACTCATCAGATCTCATGAGACTTATTCACTATCACGAGAATAGCATGGGAAAGACTAGCCCTCATGATTCAATTACCTCCCCCCGGGTCCCTCCCACAACATGTGGGAATTCTGGGAGATACAATTCAAGTTGAGATTTGGTGGGGACATAGCCAAACCATATCATTCTGCCCCAGGCCCCTCTAAATCTCATGTCCTTACATTTCAAAACAAACCATGCCTTCCCAACAGTCCCCCAAAGTCTTAACTCATTTCAGCATTAACCCAAAAGTCCAGAGTCCAAAGTCTCATCTGAGACAAGGCAAGTCCCTTCTACCTATGAGTCTGTAAAACCAAAAGAAGGCTAGTTACTTCCTAGATATGATGAGGGTATAGGTATTGGGTAAACATAGCCGTTCCAAATGGGAGAAATTGGCCAAAACAAAAGGGTTACAGGGCCCATGCAAGTCCGAAATCCAGCATGGCAGTCAAACTTTAAAACTCCAAAATGATCTCCTTTGACTCCAGCTCTCATATCCAGGTTACGCTGAAGCATGAGGTGGGTTCCCACAGTCTTGGGCAGCTCTGCCCCTGTGGTTTTGCAGGGTATAGCCTCCATTCCAGCTGCTTTCACGGGCTGGCGTTGAGTATCTGCAGCTTTTCCAGGTGCACAGTTCAAGCTGTCAGTGGATCTACCATTCTGGGGTCTGGAGAATGGTGGCCCTCTTCTCACAGCTCCACTAGGCAGCACCCCACTAAGGACTCTGTGTGAAGGCTCCAACCTCACATTTCCCTTCCACACTGCCTTAGCAGAGGTTCTCCATGAGGGCCCCACCCCTGCAGCAAACTTCTGCCTGGGCATCTAGGTATTTCCATACATCTTCTGAAATCTAGGTGGAGGTTCCCAAACCTCAATTCTTGACTTCTGTGCACCACAGGCTCAACACCACATGAAAGCTGCCAAGGCTTGGGGCTTCCACCCTCTGAAGCAACAGCCCAAGCTGTACATTGGCCCCTTTCAGTCATGGCTGGAGCGGCTAGGACACAGGGCACCAAGTCTCTAGGCTGCACACAGCATGGGGACCCTAGGCCCAGCCCACGAAACCACTTTTTCCTCCTAGGCCTCCAGGCCTGTGATGGGAGCAGCTGCCATGAAGGTTTCTGACGTGGCTTGAAGACATTTTCCCCACAGTCTTGGGAATTAACATTAGGCTCCTTGCTATTTATGCAAATTTCTGCAGCCGACTTGAAATTCTCCCCAGAAAACAGTTTTTTATTTTCTATTGCACAGTCAGGCTGCAAATTTTCTGAACTTTTATGCTCCGTTTCCCTTTTGAAACTGAGTGTCTTTAACAGCACCCAAATCACCTTTTGAATAGTTGTCTGCTTAGAAATTTCTTCTGCCAAATACCCTAAATCATCTCTCTCAAGTTTAAAGTTCCACAAATCTCTAGGGCAGGGGCAAAATACCGCCACTCTCTTTGCTAAAACATAACAAGAGTCACCTTTGCTCCAGTTCCCAACAGGTTCCTCATCTCCATCTGAGACCAACTCAGCCTGGATTTTATTGTCCATTTCACTATCAGCATTTTGGACAAAGCTATTCAACAAGTCTCCAGGATGTTGCAAACTTTCCCACATTTTCCCGTCTTCTTCTGGGCCCTTCAAACTGTTCCAATTGCTGCCTGTTACCCAGTTCCAAAGTCACCTCCACATTTTCGGGTATCTTTTCAGCAACACCCCACTCTACTGGTACCAGTTTACTGCATTTGTCCGTTTTCAGTCTGCTGATAAAGATATACCCAAGACTGGGAAGAAAAAGAGGTTTAATTGGACTTACAGTTCCACATGGCTGGGGAGGCCTCAGAATCATGGTGGGAGGTAAAAGGCACTTCTTACATGGTGGCGGCAAGGGAAAATGAGGAAGAAGCAAAAGCGGAAAACCCTGATAAACCCATCAGATCTCATGAGACTTATTCACTATCACAGGAATAGCACCAGAAAGACCAGCCCTCATGATTCAATTACCTCCCCCGGGTCCCTCCCACAACATGTGGGAATTCTGGGAGATACAATTCAAGCTGAGATTTGGTGGGGACACAGCCAAACTATATCAAGGACCAATCTGGGTACCATAACAAGATCTTATCTCTACAGAAAATAAATTCAAAAATTAGCCAGATGTCAAATCAGAAGACAGTAATACATATTATATATACACACACCCATGTATATATGTTATGACAATATATATATTGTCATAACACATATATAACATATTTACGGAAAAGAACAGCCAGGGATGGTGGCTTGCACGTATAGTCCTAGCTACTTGGGAGTCTGAGGCAGGAAGATCACCTGAGCCCAGGAGAGCAAGGCTGCAGTGAGCTAGGATCATATTCCTGGACTTTAGCCTGGGTGACATATTTGCACTTATTAAAATAAAGAGAGTCCTGCAAGGGACTCACATACAACTGCAGTTACCCTTGGGGGAAGAGGGAATTGGAGAGGAAGAAGGAGACTTCTTAAAAAACTTTGCATACTTCTGTGTTGTTTGAACTCATTATAAACAGGTATTACTTTCATAATTAAAAAAGTAATCACGGCTGGACATGGTGGCTCACATCTGTAATCCCAGCCCTTTGGGAGGCCGAGGCAGGCAGATCACCTACGGTCAGGAGTTCAAAACCAGCCTGGTCAACATAGTGAAACCCTATCTCTACTGAAAATATAAAAATTAGCCAGGCATGGTGGCACACACTGTAATCCCAGCTACTAGGGAGGCTGAGGCAGGAGAATCACTTGAACCTGGGAGGCGAAGGTTGCAGTGAGCCAAGATTGCAACACTGCACTTCAACCTGGGTGACAAGGCAAGACTCTGTCTCAAAAACAAAAAAAAGTAATCATAAAGCTATACTACTTCTCAGCACAAGCAAATGTGGAAAGCCTACAGTAATTTCTCCTTTTATTCATTCTGCTTGATAAGAGCAACCCTGCTGTGCCCAGAGAGGCAACTGAAGATGGGTCCCTTTATGCATGTTTGCAGGTTGGTGGCCTTGCCCATCCCACTGAGGATGCCACATGCTGAAGGAAGTAAACTGCAGAGCTTTTCAAGGAGGAGAGGGAAGGCCCCATAGGCTTCCTTGTGGGGACAGTTTGGAAAATATCACCAAGATGTGAACTGCAGTAACAGCTACCTCCCTGCTCTTCCCTGGGCAAACTGCTCGTCCAAAACCATCAGGACTCTGGCAACACTATCCACTGTGAAGGATTCATGTCATAGTCAGCCTGCAGGTCACAGTGCTGCTTAATTTAAGGCCTTACCAACAAAAGGGAAACAGCAGCCACACAAACCCTTACTTAGTGCCATCCCCATCCAACCTACCATCTTCTGTGGGCCTGATTTCTGGAGCAATCTGGCAGAGCTGCCTGTCCTGAGAACCTGGCTTAGTAAATGGCAAAAACTTCTTTGACCAAGAATGCAGGTTTAAAATGGATGCACAGGGAGTGGTAAAGGAGGGGGGGTAACACCGAGCAGCCACCCTACTGGGCTACCCCCATCCTGCCTATCTGTGCCAGAGCGGAGGTCAGACTGCCCTCATGTCTCATGCTCAGCAGACTGAATAACCTGGAGTCTTCATGGTGGCCGTGCATCCAACTCCAGTAGCCACAGAGAAGGGGAGGGTTGTAGAAGCTGGCTCACTATAACAGTCCATTTGAGGAAGATGTGGAAAAGCATGCAACAGGTACAAGGAAGCTTCTGGAAGGCATCTGATAAATTTCTGTCAACTTAGTTTGGCAACTTAGGTACAGTCCTCTTCAGAGGACTTTAAGAAGACGACACAGCACTGTGGTGTCCAACCACAGGTCTGGGGTCAGGCTGCCTGGATGGAAACCTTGGTTCTGCCCTCACTGACTGCATTATCTTACAACACTCACCTGCTGCTCAGGCCTCGGCCTCTTGTCTGTAAAATAAGCTAATGAAAACTCAAGTCCATGGGGGGTCATGAGCAGGAAATGAAGTAACATAATTTATGTTAATTACAAAATTTAAAAATAATTTTGTTTAAAAAGGGCAAAACAACCATGAGTTAATAATTTAGGGCTTGTAATGGCTGCTGAGTGTGGCCTGACTTCACTGATACAAAAAGAAGAAAAGAAAGGGACTGTTGTTCCCTTTGCTCACAAAACATTTCCAAGAAATGAAACTGTGGTGGCAGCAAAACTGAAATACAAAAGGGAAACGTAAATGTATATAGATGGAAAATAAAAGAAAGTATTAACATACCAAGAATTATAGTCTCATCAGACTTCAAAATCTAACTCAAAACCTAGGGAGCAGTTTTCCTGAAAAGTAGGCTCTACTACAAGCCTCTTATCAGTGAAAAAAGGGTCAGCAAAACTCTCTCTCCTTCTGCATGAGAATTTGACCTCCTGTTAACTAGCTAACTCAGCTCTCTGGAAATGGCAATGGCTTGTGTCAACCGTGCGCCTAGGCAGCATTGCTTCTGATCTAAACAGACAGATGCTTGATGGGTAAATTGCATCTGGACTGGGAAAGCCATGTTCCAGCTTTCCTGAGTACACTGACTCCTGAAACCAGGCTCTTTCAGGGATCCTGGGGACTTTGCCAATGCAGTTGTGTCAGGAGATGTTGGGCTCTACAGGATATGAGGCTCTTAAGCCAAGGCATCGCCTGTGCCTGCCCCAGGCGAATCTTGTCTCCTTGCACCTGAGCTGTGCTGTGTGAACTGCTAGCACTCCCTCTGGAAGAAACACCTGAGGATGCCCTGCCAGCAAGCTGTGGTTCCCTTGCAATGTCATCCTGAATAGACTCACATCAAGAGCCGAGCATATGAATGTCGTGAGTCAGAATGTTGAGTGGAACCTTATATGACCCCTTGGTAGGTGTTCCAACTTCCCAGTATAGGCAACCTCTCTCATGTACACTACAAACCATTTATTCTCCTTATTGTAATTGTCACAGTTAACATTCAGAGCACAAGTACTGTGTACCAGGCATTGCAACTGTTCATTCACTATATGGTTCATTCTCAAAGTGACACCTAAGTAAGTGTCATTATCTCACTATCTCATTTCAGAGCTGAAGATTCTGGGGCACATCTTGGGGTTTCCTTAGCAGGTGGAGGGGCCAGATATGGGAAGAAGCAGGGAAAAGGCAGGCAAAGAGAGAGAAGGAAAAAAGATTGCACTAAAAACAAATAAATAGCAGTTGTCACTCAATGCATGTATTTATGTGCATGCCTAAGAACTGCCCTATACAGTGAGCTGAAACTCACAGCATAATTCAGCACAAAGGACATAGTAACGGGGAAGCTGCTATTAAGCAAAGGCAGACAGTAAATGCAAAAGGTCAAACAGTAAACAGAGGCAAGCACTTCCAACAAAGGTTATACAGGTTGAGTGAACGACAGCCTTTTTTTTTTGAGACAGAGTCTTGCTCTGTCACTCAGGTTGCAGTGCAGTGGCATGATCTTGGCTCAATGCAACCTCTACCTCCCAGGTTCAAGTGATTCTCCGACCACAGCCTCCTGAGTAGCTGGGACTACATGTGTGTGCCACCACATCTGGCTAATTTTTGTATTTTTAGTAGAAACAAGATTTCACCATGTTGGCCAGGCTAGTCTCGAACTCCTGGCCCCAAGTGATCCACCCGCCTTGGCCTCCCAAAGTGCTGTGATTACAGGTGTGAGCCATCACACCCAGCTGAATGGCAGTCTTTCATATGTGTGTCCCAGAGGAACACTGAGCCAAAGTCACTAAATCTCTGGCCTTTGGAGCTCCACCCATCCAGAAAGGGAAAGAAACCTTCCCCACTGCCTCATTCTAAAATTCAAAGAACGAAGGTACACACATACATACCTATCTGCCTATACGTATATGCACATGTCAACACATATATGTACAGATACATTCACACCCATCCGCATATGCGCGGGAGTGTATATTGAAAAGTATGTGTCTGAAAATTCTGTTTCACAACATCAGAGTCACACACTGATACAAGGGAAAGACAGTACTGAAGCAGAGAGCACATTCATACTTACAGTGTCCCACATCACGATGTACACGTCAGTACTGAATGAGTTATTAACGTGCTGAGTAAGATAAAGATTGATGAAATCACAGAAGTGATGATACATGTTAACACCTAGTGTTGGAAAATGAAACTACATTAATTAACACCAAAGAGTACATGATCAAGCAAGTTTTATTCTATCCCATCTATTTACGGTTTAAGAGAATTTTAGTTGAAATAAGTGGGGGAAAAAATAACTGTTTTGTTTTTCCAAACATGAAATGATCTAGATACATAGGTAGTCCTCTATTTACAGCCTGATTGGGTTTCAAAAGTCACTCTAAAATTGGTTATTTAAAATCAGGAATGCATTTCCCCATATATCCCAAGTAACAAGTGATCATTAAGTTTCCAGAAAAAAACAAGGTAGGTCTATTTAACTCAAAACCGAGTTGAACTACAGGGCCAGGAAGACAACTCATTCTTTCTTCTGACTTTATTTATTTATTTTTATCAGGGGTAGGGTCTTGCTATGGTGGCATGTGCCACCATGCCTAGCTTGATCGTTTATTTTTTAAAGTCAATTAAGGGGCCAGGCGCAGTGGCTCACACTTGTAATCACAGCACTTTGGGAGGCTGAGGCAGGCCAATCACTTGAGGTCAGGAGTTCAAGAACAGCCTGGCCAACATGGTGAAATCTCGTCTCTACTAAAAATACAAAAGTTAGGCGGGCGTGGTGGTGCCTGCCTGTAATCCCAGCCACTCAGGAGGCTGAGGCAAGAGAATTTGCTTGAACCTGGGAGGCGGAGGTTGCAGTGAACCAAGATCACACCACTGTACTCCAGCCTGAGCGACAGAGTGAGACCGCATCTCAAAAAAAAAAAAAAAAAAAAAAAAAGAAAAAGAAAAAAAAAAGCAATTAAGCAACATCTGTTCATCATGGAAGTATTGGCAATGATGGCAACTAATATTTTGGTAATTTTCATTCTTGTCTCTTTTTTCCCTATTTAATTATTATATATATCATTCCGGGAAAACCATTAACCAACTATCATATAAAAGAGGTGAATGTCTTGTGTTCTGATTGAAAGCGAAGGAATTCTGGAGTAAGAAGCTGAATTCCAGCACAGCCATGCATGTGCAACATTCTTAGATGAGTTCATCAAGTCCCTAAGCTTTAGCTTCTCTATAGAAATGGGAAATAGTTACCTAAGTGCCAGCTTTATTATGAGAAACCCAAAGATAATACATCTTAAAGTACCCATCCCAGTGCCAGGCACATAGGAAGACCTGAATGAAGACTAGCTGGATCCCACTAGGTCAGATACAGTGGAGAGGGCTGTGGGTGCCACTATTTGTAAGTTCACATTCCACTCATTAAAAAGAAACAGAACGTGCACCCTCTCCACTTAGGTATGCAGGACCCAATATTCATCCTGGAAATGTACAAATCTAAATGGGATGAAATTCCAAGAACTGACAACTTAGAGCATGCATTTTAAAGGTGGGAAAATGTTAAGTAAAAAAAAACCAGGGAGTCTCAAAAGCAGAAATCATAAAATATTCTGACTTCATTCCCACAGTGAATAATAACATTGTGTGCCAGAAATAACAGTATAAAAATACTCTCTTTTTTTCAGCCTGGTTATCTTAGATGATTGTTTGGAAGGGCTAATTTTTTCATCCAGAAAAAAACCTGGCAAAGAATGTATTTTCAAATTAACAAGAAAAATAAAGTTCTATCAGAATCCATCCTCTTTTCCCAGGTTAGCCATAGAGCACACACAAGCTCTTTCACATGACGTTTAGTGAGTTCTTAACAGTTACTGAGGAATGCAGCAGGCACCAATCAGTGCTTGGGGCTGCAAGAATTTATAAACAGAGAAGAAAACATAAGCTCCATCCTTGAGGAATGTGCCCCCTAATGAGTCTTGATCTGTAGAATTCTCATTTTCCTAAGGTACAAGTTAGCATGAAAAGGAAAACTGAACCAGGCACAGTTACTCACACCTGTAATCCCAGAACTTTGGGAGGCCAAGGCAGGAGGATCACTTAAGCCCAGGAGTTCAAGACCAGCCTGAGCAACCTAGTGAGATCCCGTCTCTAAAAAAATATTTTAAAAATTAGCCAGGCATGGTGGTGCATGCCTGTGGTCCCAGCTACTTGGGAGGCCAAGGTGGGAGGATCACTTGAGCCCAGGAGGTTGAGGCTGCAGTGAGCTGTGATCATGCCACTGTACTCCAGCCTGGGCAATACAGCAAGACTCTGTCTCTAAAGAAAGAAAAGTAAAATTGGAAGACAGCATAATTTAGAAGAAAAAAGTAGAGTTATGAATATAGGAAAGAAATGGGACATGTCTACTCTAGCCTATTATTCTCACTTTATATACTTTATTGTATAAGTATCTGCATAAATTTAATAGCTCACACATATTTGCCACTTTTACAGGCAGTTCAGTGTTTTCTTTGCCCCTTTTTAATCTTCATATTTTAAAAACGAGTCAAAACCTGGAACATAGCATTTTTACTTGCTCTTAGTTAAAAAATCTAAACTTGTCTGATTTCTGAATTTAATACTTTGTAATATAAGAATTATGACTTCAGAAGGCAGAGCACATTAAAACTATGATCAATAAATTATAGTAATTCTGAAATATGTGTGACAGAGGCTCTCTATATTTCACTGTAAACCCAACCTCTCATGAATTTTGATAAGATCTAGCACAGTAATCCCTGTCTCTCATAATGAGAGAGACAATATAGTACAATCTGTGTTTCTCCTCTCCAGTGTAACTAGTTCACAAAGTTAAAGCTCTACTTGCAAGCTGAGAAAGAGGCTATAAGTATAAATGATAAAATAATTTTAATCTTATTTCAAGAATAAATTACACTGGTAACTTCCAGAAGAATTTTAAGTTCACTTTAGTCATGGAAATTACATAGAAGGTTTGCTAGCACAGGTCATGGACACTTCTTTCCCACCCATACTATACACATGGCTTTTAATATTTTTTTAAATTTATTTTTTATTTTTAAGATGGAGTCTTGCTCTGTCGCCAGGCTGGAGTGCAGTGGCGCGATCTTGGCTTACTGCAGCCTCCACCTCCTGGGTTCAAGTGTTTCCCCTGCTTCAACCTCCTGAGTGGCTGGGACTACAGGCGCCCACCACCACAACCAGCTAATTTTTTGTATTTTTTTAGTAGAGATGGGGTTTCACCATGTTGGCCAGGATGGTCTTGATATCCTGACCTCATGATCTGCCTGCCTGTGCCTCCCAAAGTGCTGGGATTACAGGCGTGAGCCACCGCGCCCAGTTCGGCTTTTGATTTTAAACATCTTTTAATGAAAGACCATCTAAATCAAGTGATTAGAGAAATGAGATGAGGTAAATTTAGTCACAAAAGCATAAATATGCCTTCATCTCTCATTCTTTGATTTTGGTTAAGTCCTTTGATACAAATGTGAAGGTTTCTTCTAAAATGCCAAACGTGTAAAATAATGGGAAGTTCAAACTAGTTCAACTACTACTTCAGAGAAGAAAGCAAAAAAACAAATCTACTGTTTGTCATACTGCCTCCAAAAAATTCATAGAGAATTACTGCATCCAAAAAAAGGAATAATGTCTCATTAACAAATACACAAATAACAGAAAAATTAACTTCTCACCTGCATCTAATTTCATGAAATATGTTGGTTTTTCAATGACAATGTCACATTTAGCATCTTCTATAGGTGTGAAGTTGAGCTGAGTATAGCTTTGTAGCTCAGCAAACCTGAAATTATGAATTGGGATATGACTTTAAACTGATTCTCCCAAACTTCCTATTACAACATTGTAACTTAGGATCTGTTCATTAGGCAGATTTTACCTCTAGTTGGTAGAGACACTCCTATGGACACCTGTAACTTCTAAAACTTACTGACATTTATATAGGTTGATATCAATTTTAATGTTAAGACAAAGAACACGCCAGGTGCAGTGGCTCACGCCTGTAATCTCAGCACTTTGGAAGGCAGAGGCAGTCCAATCACGAGGTCAGGAGATCAAGACCATCCTGGCCAACATGGTGAAACCCCATCTCTACTAAAAATACAAAAATTAGCTGGGCATAGTGGTGAGAGCCTGTAGTCCCAGCTACTCAGGAGGCTGAAGCAGGAGAATCGCTTGAACACGGGAAGCGGAGCTTGTAGTGAGCCGAGACTACGCCACTGCACTCCAGCCTGGGCAAGAGAGCAAGACTCCATCTCAAAAAAAAAAAAAAAAATGACAAGGAACAAAAATTATTTTAAAATTCAGTCTTATGTGCAAGATAGTTAGACTGGCAACTTACCACACAAAGAAGATATTTATATATTGGGTTGTCTAAATAACCTACCAGTAAAAGGAGAAGACTCAAAAGATTTCCCAACGAGGCTCAAAAAGAACAATGAGCCAGAGGAACTCTTGACAGACTTCTTGGATTCTGAGAGACAGCATTCCAAGAATCACCCAGTGCCTCAGAAAGACAGCAGAGACAGCTAAGTGTCCCAGAAGAAAGGAAGTTTATCTCTTGGAAAACATCTTTGGAAGCCACACAGCACAAATTTCTTCCAAACAAAAGAAGACAATCCCAAGCATGGATCGTCTGTACCTCTTCCTTAAGATCATACCTCATGTAAAACAAATATCAAATAGATCCTTTTAAAACACAATGCCAACATAGTGTGGTGGTTTCAAACATAGGTCTACAAACTCTTTAATACCTCTCCCTTCAAGAGGAAGAAGTTAATTCCCTCCCTTTAAGAGTGGGCTGGACTTAGTGACTCACTCCTAACAGGCAGAATACAGCAGACCTGATGGTAGAACACTTCTGGGATTAAGCTATACAAGTACTGTGGCTTCCACCTCAGAGCATGTACTCCCTCAGACCATGTGCTCCTGGGAAAGCCAGGAGCCACACTGTGAGCAGCAGTAGGGAGAGGCCCATATGATCAACACTGAAGTCCCTGGCCAAGAGGAGACAAGGCTTACAACAACAACCTGAGTGAGTTTAGCAGCAGATTCCCCAGGCCCAGGTTGAGTCTAGAGATGGCTACAGCCCTGGCCAACTCAGCCAAGATGCTCCCAAACCCTGACCCTCAGAAGTATTGTGAGATAATAAATGTATTTTAAGCTGCTAAATTTTAGGGTGATTTGTTATACACAATAGGTAATAAATACAAATATACCCTAGGGTACACTTTGGAATAACCTGTCACACAGCAATAAGTAACTAATACAATTAAGCCCTGTGCAACTACCATGTGGAATCAAATATCAAAAAGTATCAGGAATCAAAAAGCCCACTTGATTATAGAAACTACCTCTTGTAAAAGTCTGCTAAGTGACTTGAGAGACGCATTGCAGACTGCAAAATGCCAGATAAATGTGTGGTAGATCATTATTCTGAATGATCTGCAGCCAAGCAGTGAGGTCTCTTTAAGGGGGGGAAAAAAAAAAAAAAGTTTGCTCAGCATGGTTTTTTTTTTTTTTTTGAGACAGGGTCTTGGTCCATCACCCAGGCTGGAGTGCAGTGATACAATCATAGCTCACTGCAGCCTCAACCACCTGAGCTCAAGCAAACCTCCCAGCTCAGCCTCCCAAGTAGCTAGGATTATAGTGGCGTGCCACCTCACCCAGCTAATTATTTTTTATTTTTTATTTTTTAGAGATGAGTTCTCATCCTGTTGCCCAGGCTGGCCTTGAACTCCTGGCCTCAAGTAATACTCCTGCCTTGGCCTCCCAAAGTGCTGCAATTATAGGCATGAGCTGCCATTCCTGGCCTTGGCATGGACGTTTGACCTTGAAAATTAACATTATGTAAGTAACCTATGTGACTATACAGGAGTAGCAGGAGAGTTTCTTTGGGATGAAGGAACGATTCTGCATCCTGATTATGGTGGTCCCCACCCCCACCTCCCCCTTCCTCTACCGCTCCCTACCTACACACCCGCACCTACACACATGATAAAATTTTAATGAGTGCAGGTAATTGCTGGTGAAACCTGCACAAGTTAATACTACTGTACCAATGTCAATTTCATTGTTGTGATCATTGTGCCACAGTTATATGAGATATTATCATTAGAGGAAGCTCAGGGAATTAGACAATGTACAAGTTCTCCTTGTACTATGATATGGTTTGGCTGTGTCTCCACCCAAATCTCATCTTGAATTGTAGCTCCCATCATGGGAGGGACCCAGTGGGAGATAACTGAGTCATGGGGGTGGGTTTTTCCTGTGCTGTTCTCAAGATCTGATGGTTTTATAAAGGGCATTTCCCTCTGCACACACTCTCTTGCCTGCTGCCATTTAAGACATGCCTTTGTTCCTCCTTTGCCTTCTACCATGATTGTGAGGCCTCCCCAGCCATGTGGAACTGTCAGTCCATTAAACCTCTTTCCTTTAAAAATTACTCAGTCTTGGGTATATCCTTATAGTAGCTTGAGAACGGAGTAATACATACTATTTTTAAACTTCTATGAGTCTAAAATTATTTTAAAATAAAAATTTTTTAAATTCAAAAAGCTGGCCAATGATGTTAACAGTCAGAGTAGCATTTACCTTTGGAGAGGGGGATGGGGGTACAGCCTGGAAGGGAGCCTGAGGTGCGCACGATGTTCTATTTTTGGACCTGGGTAAAAGTTACATGGGTGGGTTCACTTTTTCACAATCCAAACTGTACCTTTTTCTGTATGCTTGTTACATATTTTAATATATGTGTATTGTTTTTTAAATGTGTTCCCCAAAAGACATTTTTATTTTTTAGAGATGAGGTCTCATCATGTTGCCCAGGTTGGCCTTGAACTCCTGGGCTCAAGGAATACTTCTACCTCGGCCTCCCAAAGTGCTGCAATTATAGGCATGAGCCACCATTCCTGGCCTTGGCATGGACGTTTGACCTTAAAAATTAACATTATGTAAGTAACCTATGTGACTTTGTAAGTGAATAAAACTCAGCAATTGTGAGTTAATAAAAATGGATTTTTGAGCTGATTTTTTCTTTCATTAGCAAACAGTAAGTACTATATCTACTATTATAAACACATATTTAATTCAGATGCAGCTGAGGGATTCACTTGGTTTCTGTCACTTCCCAGAAGCTCATGTCAAATTATGTACAAATGAAGTAACATTTTCCATTTGAGAGTCCCCATTAATATCTGCAAGTGCCAAAAATAACGGCAAATATTTCCGAAACAGATATGTTAAAAATATCTTACCATGACTGCAGAGGGCTTTTGCGCTGACCTTCAGACATCAATGTACGGATGTCAAGTTGACAGTGCCCTCCAATTTCACCACTCTGGAAAAAGTCCTCCTTAAATCTGGTGTATAACAAAACATTAAGGAGAGTTCAGAAAATTTCTTCACGACCCAAGCACGTGGGTTGTAACTAAAGAGGGTTACCAACTTCCAAACTCAATTTTTTAAAACAATTCAACTATTTATAATAGAAAATATCAAGTGTATATGAAAGTAACAGAATCATATCAGGACCTAATGTATCTACAACCCAACTTTGCGATGCGATCTGAGTCATCCATCCCCCATCCATTCCCCAACCCCTCTGCCATATCATCAAAAACAAATTCAAGAAATATCCCTTCAGCCAGGCCTGGTGGTTCACACCTATAATCCCAGCACTTTGGGAGGCTGAGTGGGGGGGATCACCTGAGCTCAGGAGTTTTAGACCAGCCTGCGTGATGCTGGGAGACCCCATCTCTTCAAAAATTAAAAAACTAGCCAAGCTTGGTGGTGCACTTCTGTAGTCCCAGCTACTTGAGAGGCTCAAGTGGGAGGATCACTAGGGTTTGGGAGGTCACAGCTGCAGTGAGCCATGATTACACCGCTGCACTTCAGCTTGGGCAACAGAGCAAGACCCTGTCTCAAAAAAAAAAAAAAAAAAAAATCCCTGGAACTGAAAATATTTCACAATTTATATTAGATGTTAACATTAACCACTTAAGTACCTGTCATGATTTCTCTTGATGTTTCTTAAATCAAGGTAGAGATTGGTTGCTCTGCAGTACTGAAGATAACGGGAACACATCAGACTTGAGTCACTCTGAAGGTTGTGCAAAAGAAAAAAATAACCATAACTATTAACACAGCAAAGACTCACCCAGACTTGCTGGACATGTTGACAGCATGGATACCCTCACGTTCGAACCACACGACGTGACAAGGAAAGCTCTCCAAAGACTGCATCTGCTGAAGGATATTTTCTCCTTCCCAGCTGACCCTGGCCAAGCACACTTCTGCCAGTTTCCCACTTTTAAGGTACTATGGAGAACTCCCAAACAATCTGTCACCTCAAATTTTAAAACCAAGAGCTGTAGAGGTGGCTCAGTTCAGTCCCCTTTAAAAGAAGAAAAAGCACCCAGAAACAGTACTACTACCCCCACAGCTATGTGAAAAAGCAGCTTCCAAAAGCAAGCCCAAAGAAACAAGGAAAAATGCACACATAAGAGACATTAAAAGCGGGGAGGGAAGTTTGCCAGTTTTAATAAGAAGTACTTTCTGCAAACCATAAAGCTTGTGGGAGCCTCTATCTCAACAGCAACATGAGGGCAATATTTTCTAAATAATTGAAGAAAGGAATTGAAGAGTCAGCTACCAGAGTCTGATTCTATTTCAACCAATCTGGGTTGTGCTGAGAGCTTCAAAAACTTTTATCTGCTCTGGGTTTTATTTATCGATTTAAATGTCATTTTAATTGTTTTTCCCATAACTCCCAATGAACACAAAGCCTTAATCTTGACCTGCATGGCGTTTTGGAGTCTGTAGTTGGTAAAAGATTGCAATGGACTGAATGTTTGTGTCTCTGCCAAATTCATATGTTGAAATTCTAACCCCCAATGTGATGATATTGTTTAGAAGCCACCCAGTCTATGGTATTTTGTTATAACAGCCCAAACAACTAAGACAAGGATCATACTCTGCTAGCACAAAGCAAATCAAGGTAAATCTTAGCCAAAAGAACATTCTACAAGCCATCTTGAAAGAGGCGTGCAAGATAGGGGTTGTCATTCTTCTCTTGCCTTTTCCACGTGAACAGCTAGACTTGAGCCAAGTGTGCAAGACAGAACAGAACTCTGTTAAAGATACCCTGCAGCCGTGCAGTTTAATGGCATGCCTCACATCCTCAGGCCTCATTCTCCTTGCTAGAATGCTCAAAGCTCTATGACGTGACACCCCCCAATAGCTCTATAAAGCATATAATCAGTTTTTGAATGTGAGTAAATTAAAAAAATTTTTAGGTCCCCAGTGTGGTTGGAGATTGGAGATTGGAGACCCCTGAGATGTCAGAGACTCAGGGTTCAGGATCATTGAATTAAAGAATAGTGTACCTTAATCGTAAGTGCTTACAACTTCATCAACCTTTAAAAAATAATGCTGAGCCCTTTGCTGGGAATCAGGCCCTGCTGCACTGAGCATTTTTATCTGCAGAACCTCATTTCTTCCTTACCATATACTACATAATGGGCATGGCTTTAAGGCAGAGGAAATTGAAACAAGGAAAGCCTAAGTACCTTGTCCAAGACTCAGGATCTGAGTTGTAGTTGAGAGCCTGCTCTTGTATTTACTACCCCAGACCACCTCTGGACAACGTGTTTATCTGATCCAGTGAGGTACAATATGGTATGGTTGAAAGTAAACTGGAAAAACTGCATTTTAATCCTAGATGTATAATTAATTCTAAAGGGCAGCTGTGCAGTCTTGGAGAAGTTGCCTAACTCCTCTGAGGACCCTGTTTTGCACACTGATAAAGTGGCATCAGTAGTATCTGCTATAACGCTTATGAGCATCAAACCAGATAACATATATAAAAGCTTTCTGCAAACTGTAAAGCTCTGGGCAAACGTAGAGCAGTATGGTGGTATTATATCATCTGTCCCAAACTATCTGAGAATAAATTTGTAAAGATGCAATTTATCAACTTCTCTTCTTTAGCATATGTTTGGGGGAAAGATTCTAAACCTAAAAATATTTCGACTGTCTTAAAATATGACTATCTGATAAAGGTGGGATAAGGAGGACAGGGTTTCCAAAGGAAAGAGAACAACCTATTTAGGAAAGTTACATAAAATTCTAAGCCAATAACTAAGTGAGAGTGAGGAATTCCTTTCATAGTGCCGTCTATCTTATTTTTACATTACAACCTAAATGATAAATATTAAAAATCAATAATCAATAAATAATAAAAATAAAACAGCTTGGTTGGACACAGTGGCTCACGCCTGTAACCCCAGCACTTTGGGAGGCTGAGGTGGGCGGATCCGTTGAGGTCAGGAGTTCGAGATCAGCCTGGCAACATGGCAAAACCCTGTCTTTACTAAAAATACAAAAATCAGCTGGGAGGGGTGGCACACGCCTGTAATCCCAGCTACTCGGGAGGCTGAAGCAGGAGAATCCCTTGAACTCGGGAGGCAGAGGTTGCAGTGAGCCAGGATTGTGCCACTGCACTCCAGCCTGGGCAACAGAGAGAGACTCCGTCTCAAAAATAAATAAAATTAAAATTAAATAAACAAGCTTATTTAGTAAGGAGGGAAATACCCACCGTTTCCTTAGGCTGACAGAGCACATGCATCTCCTCCAGCCTCTCTCTGGCATATCCAAAGTCAGCCTGTTTCCAGAATATGTCCTCAGCTGACTCAAGAGTGTCCGTCCTATTTGCAAACAAAAATATTCTGTGGTTTTTTTCTTTTTACTTTTTTTGGACCTTGAATTTTTATTCTAAAGGTTAAAATGCTAAAGGTTCCTTATTACTTTAATTTTGTTACAGTATACTATCATCATAGTTTTTCCAAAACTATGCCTCACTACATGAAATTACCAAACTAAGTTATTCACAGAATTATTCCCTTATCATAAAAATATGTAACAGACATGTATGAAGTTATCCCCTGAAACTGAAGACAATGACGCATTCTTAATTACTATGTTTTCTTTACCACATTAACACTGCATGTATTAGAAGTACTAATTACACTTAATTCTCCCAGGAAGAATCAAGAGGAAACCATCCATTTATCTTCTTAGTATACACTGGGGGAAAACATCATCTATGGTCCCGGCTGTTTCTCCCTCTGGCAGAGGAAATGACAGATATTCCTATCCCAGTGTGAAATAGTCAAGTTGAATTCATGACTGTGTAAGCAAATTAATATCTAACTGAATTACTATCTAAAACCAAAAGAATCCAGCTAGAAATTAGGGCATCAACATACACTGTATAGAAAGAAGAAGACTTGAAGAGGGTATTCCATATGGAAACTTACCATCCCATGTCAACATAGCTGCAAACTGGGTAACCAAACCTGAACTCTGGTTTACAGGATTTCTCATAACCCCAGCAGTACTTTAGCTTTTCTAGGTGTTTCTAGAACATAAAACTTACATTGATTTCCCTTCTTCTGACATTTAAAGAAGACTCTTACATTTTTCTATTAAGAAAACAAATCATTATAGAGCATTCATATTTACATTTTATAATATGTCATCTTATCATAATAAATTTAAAACTTACAGTTAATTCTAAAAAGAGCAGTCTCAAGGTTCTTAACAATCCTTCTTCCTTATCTGATACCCCCACCATATCTGTCCTCTAACCAAAAGTCTGGGCTTTACCTAGATGCTCAAAGACCACTTGAATTTGAATTTCTTGAAGTAGCTTAAGAAACTGCCTTTCTCAGTGAGCAAGCAGATTCTAAAATCAGTCCCTAAAAGACATATAAACTGGAATTTGTGCTACCAAAGGAATCACAGCTAAAGTGAATGAATCAGCAACTTTACTCAGCAATCAAGATCAGCAGAGACCCCACAACACATGGACAACTCTGCCACCCTTGGGAACCACCCAGCTGCTGCTGGACAAGGAGCTCAGAATGCTCTTCTGCACGGCCCCAGGAGCGATGCTGGTCTGGTTCCCAAGTCTGCTTTTCCATATGCTTCCTGTGCCAGCACCATGGGAAAGGAAGTGTCTCACAATGCCCAGCTTTGATCTCTGAGGCCCTGTGAGATGTCTTAATGGGCTCCTATTTGAGACCTTTCCAACTCCTCTAAAACAGAAAGAAAGCCACAGTAACAGGCTTAATTAATGTGGAGTCAGAGGCTGAGGTGTCATTACTGAAATTAAGTGCTAAGCGATCCTCTTATGTGCCATTTAAGAAAGAAGAGGTGTGAAATTCTTTAGTTACTTTAAACAAGATGTTCTTTCCTGCATAAAATCTAATTGCTTCTTTACAGAGTTTACAGATAGTATTGGCTACTTGTTTTAGAAGTGATTTCGATTTTAAATTTCTCTCTTACGAATGGGACATAATTTTAAGCAGTTTAGTCACTTAGAAGTATTATATGAAACTGAAACAATGATTAACTTATACAGTGACAACCAAAAATTAGAATTCTACCTTCAGCTTCAGGTTATAAAGCAGAACCAGTAAGCCAGCCAAAATTGCATCCTCATAAAAATAAGGAAAGAAGAAATAATACCTACCTTATATGGACAAAGAGAGTCTTTCTTACAGACAGTGGCAATATGCCTATTGTTGTGCAAAAAGAAGGGAATGTGCTCCTCTGGCAAGTGGATACTGGCATAGTTATACAGAGGTTCGCCTGGAATGCTGTGAGTGTTAGGAGGAGCTTCATTCTGATCACTCAGTGGGACTTCATGAAGTAAGACTCCAAAGACAAACAACATTAACATAGCAACCTGCAAACCTAGAGATCAAATTGAAGACATCTTTGTTAACAAATTTCCTTTAAAAGCCAAAACAACAACAACAACAACAACAACAACAACAACAAAGGGTCAAGAGCTAAGTATAATTACAAAGCACTTTGCTATCCCACTGTGTAATGTTCCTTTGTTAAATTTTCTTTTAGCACTTGCTTGGTGCCAGGCACCACATTAGCAAATGGGTATACAGAGGTGAACAGAACAAGAAAGAGCCTGGCTCTCATGGTGCCTTTAAACCTAGTACGACTGTCGTAAACAAGCAATCAAATAAATAAACAACTTCAGCGGATGACTGGGCCTGTGACTCAAACCAACTAGGGGCCAGCAAACTTTTCCTGTAAAGGAGAAGCAGTAAATATTTTTGGCTTTGCCAGACATAAGATCTCTGTGACAACTACACAATGCCTCTGTCCAGAAAGTAGCCATGGTCTATTATAAAAGAAAGGATGAGGCTGTGTTCCAATAAAACTTTATAACTTAAAAAAATTATGGAATGGCTTGATAGGATCCAGTTTAGTGATACCTGAAATAAAATAAAGCAATATGATAGACAACGTAGCATGGTGGTTAAGAACCTGAACCTTTAAAGCTTAACCACCTGGATTTGAATCGCAAATCTGCAGCTTCCCAGCTGTTAAGACTTGAACAAGTTACTTAACCTTTCTGCACCTAAGCATTCCCCATCTGTAAAATGGAAATAATAACAAACCTTCACTGTAGAGCTGTCGTGAGTTAAATGAGTTAATTATTGGTAAAGTGTTTAGAAAACTATCTGGCACACACTAAATGCTATGGAAGTGTTTATGAAATAACTGTTTAAAGCCATGTGGGGCAGAAAAGGGGCCCAAATAACACTGGAGCTGAGATCTGAATGATGAGTAGGGGAAAAAGCATCGGTGAGAGAGCAAAGGGAGTGGGATGGCTCCAAGCAAGTGTGTGTCTGCTGAATAAAAAATTATAATCACAATCAAGGTGTGAGCACAATGTTCCAGGAGCTCTTCTGAACCCAGGATACAGCAATGAAGGTGCAGTCATGAACTAAACTCATTGCCCTTATGAAGCTTACATGCTAGTAGGTATAATAATCAGCTATGACAATAGCTAAGACTTAGAAACTCCAGGAGTGATATTAAGCAGTCTGTGTCAAAGTCTGCGCCCTTAAACTCTCCCTTCACGCCTCTACATTGTGAACACTGACAATGGTCACAAACCTTACTGCACTTCTAACTCACCCAGTAAGTGTTAAATCTCTTAGACCAGATTTCTCCTATATATCCCAGACAATGATCCTGCCATTCTCAGGTCACTTTAGTGGGCTCTTTGTTCTATTTTTTGTTTTGTTTTGTTTAAGTGGTCTTTCCACTGGATGACAGAGTCTTAATATACATTGGATGTTCATCAGCTAGGACTGCTGTTTCCTGGGTCATGCCGGAAAACCCATGTTTTGAAATTAGTCTTCATTGATTATGGGCTGTGAAGATGGAGCCTTTAGAAACAGACTGCAGGCCCAATGCGGTGGCTCATCCCTGAAATAGCAGCACTTTGAGAAGCCGAGACTGGCAGATAAACTGCTTGACTCCCTGAGTTTGAGATCAGCCTGGGCAACATGGTGAAACCCGGTCTCTGCTAAGAATACAAAAAATCAGCTGTAGTCCCAGCTGAAGCGAGAGGATCGCTTTAGCCTGGGAAGTCAAGGCTGCAGTGAGTAGTGATCTCGCCACTGCACTCCAGCCTGGGCAACGCCAGGGAGACCCTGTCTCAAAAAAAAAAAAAAAGAAAGAAAGAAAGAAAGAAAAATGGAAATTGACTGCTATGTTCCATCAAACCTCAAGTTCCAAGGCCATGGAATTCTAAGTGAACAGTGGGGACACCCAGAAGAAATCCATTTTCCCCCATTTTTCCCCCCTGGAGTAGTTAAGTACTACAGATTTTCACTTTGGCAGCCCTCAAGAGTATGGTGTTATCTGCTGTAAATCTGATCTGAATTATAATAATATTTTCACTTGGGGCTTTCACCCAAGAATGAGTTGACAGTAGTGTTATAAAAATTTAAAAATACATATTCATAGTAACAATGACTCTACTTAAAATAAAAATATTTACCTCTTGAATCCTCAGAACCACTCAGAAGCTTCTGTGATGTTTCAGGTCTCTAAAACCTGTCAGAAATGAAACATATTACCTTAAAAGGATGCTAGAGTAAACTTGATCATTCAGGTGATGTTGTGAATTAAAGGAAATATTAAGAAAGAAAATAATGTAACGGGATAACCCTCAGTCAGAAGGCCTGGCCGGTGGTGCGCTTTCTTTTCCTTAATGAATACCACACTGCTAACCGAGTTCACAGGCACCACCGCCAACACAGCACCTCTGACCAGATTCCAATGGGGAACAGGAGGAGGTGGCCCACTTTCTACAGGCATCCACTGGAACTGGCCAACAGGATACTTAGTGGATCAAACATTCTCAGGAGCAAACAACTTTCCCATTCTCACAGCAGTAATCCCCGTTGGCTGAATCACAGTGCTACCCACCTAGAGTGGCGAGCCTGAGGGTTCCCAGGCCTTCCTATTTTTTGAATTGTCCTTCCCGGTAATAAAGTCATTGTTATGACCAAGCCCTGACCCTTGTTATCCAAGTCCACTGTCCTCCAGTGAGCTCTGGCCATCACTAAACTCACCGATCAGTTGAGAAGTAAGGCTCAGGCGATGGAAAAAATCTAAAGACGCAGATCAGAAAGCTGGCTTCTGGCGACGGCATGTACCCACTTGCATAAGGCGGGTGGGGGTGGCTGCCGGGCCTGGCACAAAGCCTTCCTGGTGTCGGTCCTCCTGCAAGGCCCGCGGGGATGGGTGGCTGCACTCCTCCAGCACAGGGACGCTTTGGTGGCCAGGCTACTTTTCCTTCAGCTCAAAGCAGCTGGACTGACTCCACTCCAGAAACCCTTGATTCGATTTCCACAGGCCTAATGAGGGAGGAAAAAAGGGAAACATCTGAAAGATGATGGATAGGAGGCAAAACCTGGGGCTGACACAGTGGGCGAAATGGGGCAATGTTGCAGAGCGACAAAGCTTGGAAAAGTTTAAAGAAGGCAGTGGGCAAATGGAAAGTTCAAGACGTGAGACTCCGAATGACTCCTCAGCGGCTGGCCCCCACTTGAGCCAAAAAGTCTCTCGGTGGGTGCCAGGCAGGGCTCAGGAAGTGCTCGGCTGCCCGAGAGCCCAGCTGTCCGCTTGAACGTCAGTCCCGGCCCAGGGCTGAGGGGTCAGCGGCGAGCGCCCCGCCGCGGCTGAGACGACGCGCTGGGGTTCTGGACCGTGGGTGCTGCCAGGGGCTGCTTTGGGGGCGGAGATCTCCCGGGGCCGCCGGCCACCCTGCACCGCGGCGCCCCGGGTCCCCAGCGCGCCTGGGAGGGGCCCCGGGGAGCGGCTCCGCCCCGGCTGGAAACCTGGTCAACGCGGCTAGGGCCCGGGGCCCGCCTGCGCTCCGGACGCAGGGAAGGGGCCGTGCGCCCGGGGCCGGGGAGGGCCAGGATCGGCTTCCGACGCCCGCCTCCCAGTCCGCAGGGAATGGGAAGGCGCGGGCTGAGTGCGTGCGCAGGCTATAGCCCTCCGGGAAACCGCGCCGGGAGCTGGAACCACCCGGGGCAGGAGCGGCGCAGAGCGCGGCCGCGGCGGGAAGGAGAGCGGGGGAAGGCTCCGCAGACTGCGGGCGAGTCCCACCTGGAGCCGCGGCAGCCGTGACTATCGAGGAGGAGGCGGAGGAGACTGCGGCTGTTGCAGAGGAGGGAGTCGTCATAACCGGCTACTGCAGCTCACCGGAAACCTCGGGCGCCGGAGCTGGGCCAGGGGGCGCCAAGGAGCAGCTGGGACACCTTGGCCAGCTGGCGCCGTGGGCGGGCTCGGGCCCCGCAGAGGCAGGACCGGACGACACCCGGGAGGGCCAGGGCACGGGGCCCGACGCGCGGAGCGGCTTCAATCCGGCTAGCGGCCTGGACCCGGAGAGCGCGGCAGGGAGGTGCTGAAAGTGAGGGAACCATCTGCCTTTCGTGGCGCTCTCCCGCGAAGGTTGGCGCGAGTCCGCCAGCTCCCTCACCAGGGCCGGAAAGACCCGCGGCACGTGCCGGAGCCGGACGCCCATGTCCATCGCAGCAGCCGGCGCCTTCTTGAGCGAAAGCGTTAAAGCGCTCGGAGGATATTAGGGCCTGGTGGGTAGAAAACCTGACTCTTCTGCTTGCACTGTGGCGGATTTTTACTTTTGTCTTATTTCAGGCAGAAGTTGCCCCCCTAACTTCCAAATTTCAGGACTGAACATTGTTCACTGAATACACTTTGTGATGGTGAGGATACTTTGGAGCCAACACACATTTTAAAAGCAGTATAGTTTTACCTATCTGTAAACGCATCAAGTTCAAGTACTACTCTGTGGAGTTTAATTTTTATGGTTTTGTTAATTTACTTTATTACTGGTTATTTATAATTATTTGAACTCCCATTCCCCCATTGTCTTTTCCTCTAAACTCCCCCAGGCCTACTATTCCATCTACAGCACAGTAGAGTTGATCATTAATGACTAAAGTTGAACTGATTATATGAAGGTGATGCCTTCAAAATAAACGTGCTCAAATGCATCAAGGCACCAGAAGTTAAGTAATATCATAAGGAAACAAGTTTGTTTCCAAAGGCTTACATGCTTTTTACGTAATTTTTTAAAGTAATGTTGTTTAAGAATTATTACAAGTTCCATTAGTGACTTGCTAAATTAGGAATCTTACCTGGATTTTTTTTCAGATAATAACAGCAAAAACATATGTGGTGGTTAACATGTGCCAAACATTATTCTAAAGCACTTTACAGTATTTATTTATTCTTTTTATTAAAAAGATTTTGCCTCTAAGGGAACTGTCAGAGGTATGTGAACCAGAGCAACTCCATCTTAAATAGGAGCTGAGTAAAATGAGGTTGAAACCTACTGGGCTGCATTCATTCCCAGACCGTTAAGGCATTCTAAGTCACAGGATGAGATAGGAGGTGAGCACAAGATACACGTCATAAAAACCTTGTTGATAAAACAGATTGCAGTAAAGAAGCCGGCTAAATCCCACCGAAACCAAGATGGCCATGAAAGAGACCTCTGGTAGTCCTCACTACTACACTCCCATCAGCGCCATGGCAGTTTACGAATGCCATGGCAGTGTCAGGAAGTTACCCTATATGGTCTTAAAAGGGGAGGCATCAATAATCCACCCATTTAGCATATCATCAAGCAATAACCATAAAAATGGGCAACCAGCAGCCCTCAGGGCTGCTTTGTCTATGGAGTAGCCATTCTTTTATTCCTTTACTTTCTTAATAAACTTGCTTTCACTTTGCCCTGAATTCTTTCTTGCTCGAGATCCAAGAACCCTCTCTTGGGGTCTGGATCGGGACCCCTTTCCTATAACAGAATTACTGCTCTATTATTTTATACTTTGCATACTTCACCCATCCCACACTAATAAGGACAGTAATTTTTAAAAATGCTTCCTCAAGCCAGGCACTGTGGCTCATGCCAGTAGTCCCAGCTACCCAGGAGGATCGTTTGAGCCCACTGAGGTTGAGGCTGCAGTGAGCCATGATTGAGACACTGCACTCTAGCCTGGGCCACAGTGAGACCCTGTCTAAAAAAAAAAAAAAGCTGCCTCAGCCTGCTTGCTACCATCCTGTTTTTATCACATACAAAAAGGTTCAAATTAGTATGACGTGTGCATGGTACTATTTTATTATTATTATTTGTAGAAACAGGTTCTTGCTGTGTTCCTAGCACTTACTTCCAACTCCTGGCCTCAAGTGATCTTCCAGTCTCAGTCTCCTAAAGTGCTGGGATTACAGGTGTGAGTCACGACGCCTAGCTACATGGTGCTATTTTAAACAGCTACATATTGAGTGGTCATTCAGACTTACAGGAAACCAGATATGACAGACTTGAACATGAGATTGAGTCTCTCTTACTGCAACAGCCATTCTCAAATAGAATTTCTCTCCAAAATATCAATGTTAGAATTTAAATTTTCTTTGAGTTGACATAAAATTTAAATGTCTACCGATAGAAGGTTGGTTGAATAAACTATGGTTTATCCATAGTGTAAAACTATGCATGCATAAAAAGGAATTGAGAAATATCTCTATACACTACAGGATATTGAGTGGGAAAAGAATATGTAATATGTAAATACCATTTTTATAAGAGGAAAATGTATGTATACATGTGTATACACATATATGTTTACTAATTATTATTTTACAAGTAGATTAACATTTAAAATGACTATATGGGCAAGGAGGGAAGAGGAGGGGTATAAGGAACAAAGAAGACATGACTTTGTTTTTTGGTTTTTGTTTATTTGTGTGTGTGTCAGACAGAGTCTCATTCTTTTGCCCAGGCTGGAGTACAATGGTGCAATCTTGGCTCACTGCAACCTCCGTTTCCAGGGTTCAAGCAATTCTCCTGCCTCAGACTCCTGAATAACTGTGATTACAGGCATGTGCCATCATGCCTGAGGAATATTTGTATTTTTAGTAGAGATGGAGTTTCACCATATTGGCCAGGCTGGTCTCGAACTCCTGACCTCAAGTGATCCGCCCACCTCGGCCTCCCAAACTGCTTAGATTACAGGCACGAGCCACCATGCCTGGCCTGAAGACATGACTTTGGAGCCATGTAAATATGTTACATTATAAAGCAAAATTCTATTTTTAAAAAGCAATCCTTGAAAGTAAAATGAAACTAAATGAACCTAAATGTTTTCCAATTGTGGCATATACCCGGAGGAGCTATCCCAAGTGACTTTAAAACTTAATTTGTATATACTTAGTGGGATGTAGTCTCAGGACTAAAGTACAAAAAAACTCTTGTAGACTGCATTCTGTAACCAAATTGTTGGTGGCAATATTGGTATTGTGGGATACACCAAGTTGAAGTAATTATGATGGTACCTTTGAAGCTGAAATTTTTGACATGAGATAGAGATATGAAAGCTTAATCAGGCTGTATAAACATCCTGTAGTTCTGAATTTCATTTAGAGGCCTCAGTATGATTAACAGTATGGTTAATCTTTAAAAACACATCTCTCCTACATGCTTCATTGGAAAGGCCTAGAGACAAGCTACCCAGTAGAAAGAAGCACCCCCTTGCGCTCACACTGTGATCTCTATAAACCATTTCCCATTAAAAGAAACACTGACTCTGTAGAACAATGGATGATCTTGGGTCTGGAGCAGGAAATGTACAAGATGAGCCTGCAATATCTTACATCGGGAAGCAGCAAAGCAATCAAAAGGCTATTAGGGTCATATCAAAAGGACTCAGGAGCTACCTTGAAAACCTTCCTACCAGTCAAAGATAGGATAATTTAAAGCATAAATAAAGGTAACTAATTGGATGAAGGACAGCTAAATTTAAATAATTACATCAGACACAACCAGTCAACCAAACATGCAAGCCAAAAAGGTATCACCGTTCATTTTTAATGATAGAAGGAAACCACCTCTTATTCTGAAAACTGGTAAACAAAGGGAAAGAGTCAGGAATATTTATACTGTCTTTCCTATATGAATTATGATGCAAGTAACAAAATAACTGAAGTAAATTTTTTTTTGGAAACATTCCAACTACTAAATGAAAAAGAAATGACAATACCACTCCACAAGCTCTGTGAACTAATAGATTTAAGAAGTGATAATCAATGATTTCGTTATCACAACTGAAAAACCATGGGACATTATCTGTCTCCTGCTGGAAGAATATACTTCCACCTAATGAAGTATTTTTGTTGAAAAATAATTGCCTTTAAATTTAAACACAGGAGGCAGAACACACTAACAAAAGGTAAGAAATCAACATCCAGATGGAGGGAAACTCTACAGGACAAATGACCTAGATTTTTCTACAAATAAGAAACTCCATCGAAATTGCAAGAAGAAAAAGAGAGAGATGGAAGAATGCATTGCTTAAAAAAATTGAGACAAATCCAACAAATTACAATGAGTAAATTGATAACAATATCAGCAGAATATAGTAAACTGGTTCTCTGATATATCCAACTGTTAGACCACAATTAAAAGGTGTTGACATTTTTAATGAATAAATTTTTGCTATAACTGATCTATATGCTTATGATTTTACAGAAAAGCAGTAGGAAAAGTAGCACCATATAGTTAATAATTCAAAACATGGACTCTGGAGCCAAACTGCACAAATTGGAATCCCAGCTTTGCCACTTACTTGCCATATGACCTTGAGCAATTAATCTTTATTTTTAAAAATGGGGGTGATAATAGCATCCACTTTAAAAGGTTGACTTGATGATAAAGTCTGGGTACACACCTCCTTTTCCAAAATCCTTGGGTCCCTGTGTGTGCCTGAACTTTAAAAAATAGAAAAGATATGCCCATCGTTTAACTTAATACCACCATTGAGTCCTGGGTGAGTACCCCATAATCTCACACAATATTTCTGCAGCAAAATGTATGAGTATTCACACCAAATGAGTTAAAGACTATACATAGCCCTATGTCACTGCAGTGCAGGCTTTACCACCAAAGTAGATTTAACAGCAAATGTATTGAAATATATGTGGTTTTTAGAGCTTTGTGGATTTCAGAACAATGATTATGGGATTATAATCCTACATTACTGAATTCCTTACACAGTGCTTGGAACAAAATAAGACTATGTTTCCCAAAAGAAGAAAAAAGAAGAAAAGACTATATTTCCTATTACCAACCTGACCACAGATTTTTGAACAACATATATTTTTAAAAATTAAGACTGTAATTTTAAAAGAGACAAATTGGCATGGTATTTTATAAAAATGGAAGGAATACCTCTATCTACCATGCTGTGCCCATACCTGTAGAAGCAATAAGAATGTTTAATATTAAACAAACGGAAAAACCTACCATTACCTTCTTGTTTAATATTATTTGTGATTCTAAATATTAAATTTAGCCTACTTGGGAGTAGGGCAGTGAGGGAATTCCAGACAGTTCTACGAGTAAATTCTCTTTACCATATTTGTGAATTACTGAAGCATTTTGAGGTTTTTGTTTTGTTTTGAGAAAAGGTATTTAAGTACTAAGAAGAAACACATTTAATTTCCAGTCTATCTTACAAAAAAGTCTTAATTTGCTGAAAGGTAAAATGCATATGTATAAAGGCAACAGATTAAAAGTACTTTAAAGGTTACAGAGCTTAATACAAGCAATATGAACTCAGAAATAGAGGATAACTTATTTTAACTGTTATTACTTGAATACAGAAACATAAGAAGACTTTTAGAAGAATGTCTTGATACTGTTTAAGATTAAAAATGGACACAAATTATCCTTACAGTAGTTACCAGCAAGTTATAAGTAAATTCTTAGAACTGTGTTTTCTGAAAACATATCTTCATCAGAAAAACTATACTTCAGGCCAGGTGCAGTGGCTCATGCCTGTAATCCCAGCACTTTGGGAGGCCAAGGTGGGCAGGTCACTTGAGGTCAGGAGTTCGAAACCAGCCTGGCCAACATGGTGAAACACATCTCTACTAAAAATACAAAAATTAGCCGGATGTGCTGGTGTGCACCTGTAAACCCAGCTACCTGGGAGGCTAAGGCAGGAGGACCACTTGAACTTGGGAGGTGGAGGTTGCAGTAAGCCGAGATTATGCCATTGCACTCCAGCCCAGGCAACAGAGTGAGACTCTGTCCAAAAAAAAAAAAAAAAAAAAAAACTACACTTAATACTAATAATATAACTTATAGAAAATTGGGGCTTATCTTCATTTTCTTAAAATATTAATCTCAAATATAAACAAGTTATATTTTCATAAAACAATATTGATTCCTCCTCACTCATTACTATTGACCACTATACATTTTGTTAAAAATGAAATACACTATTACTATTTTAAAATCTTTATTCAATCAGATCCATGCTTATTTACATTATCTTTCATTTAGAATTAAAATATTATGTCAATCTGTAGTTTAAATCATACTTTTAGCCCTTTACAAAATATGTGATAAAAGTTTTCATGGTTTAAAATGGACCTACAATAGGGAAATTTTGATTCACTTTAATGAAAATGAAAAATTATGATACACTACAACATAAATGTATATGTACTAAACATACAGTATTAAAACAAGATAAAACATCTACACTTTTCTTTTTTCTTCTATTTTCTAAATACTATAAATCATATACTTTTAATAAGCATTCAAATAAAACTCTCAATAAATGCCAACTGAAGAGATGGCGAAAAAAAATTTCCTGAACATTCTTTTCACTTACTT